GCTGATTCTACTCCCTTTCCTTTGTCCACCTTTCTCTTTATCAACTTCTTTGGCCGGACAATAATGCCCGTCTTGAAGGATTCCAGGGTAGTGATGCGATTCTTTAGGTTAGATGGCGCTGCTGTCGATGACTCTATTTTTCGAAGCAAGGCCTTTAGAACTGGTGTGTTCGTCACGAGATCAGCAGCCAAGGAGTCGTTGGGATTCAGTGTCCCCCTCTTGTGTGCCTCCGCAGCGACCTGGATAGCGTACAATTGATCGCTAATCATGGACCACTTGGGAGGCTCTACTTCCATCAACCCTACGAGGCATAGATAGACGGTCGTAATGATGGTCTTGCGTAGAGGTGGATTGATGACCTGGAAGCAGGTGACTAGACCGTCGAAGAAGTCGGACCCAGCAAGAAGAAGTATTCCTGCGTTGGGAGAAACATGCAGCAGCGGATTCAGGCGTGTGAGTTCCAGCTCGACAAGTTTGAGATCACCCTTGCTTCCGGCGTCGAGCTGCGGGATAAGGAGCCTTTTGAGAGAAAGTAATGAAGATTCGATGGGAGCGGCGTGATTGGCGAAGAGCCGTGCAAGCAGCGGTGCAGTGTGCTTCTTTGGAAACGTCCTCGCCAACCCGGCCAGAAAATGGACGTCTAACAGCCGAGGTGAAGGAAATATTGCCAAGAGCCGTGAGATGAGGCGGAAGATCGTCTTTAACAGCCGCGGTGATATTGTCTTTGCGCCCGACTCGACGGCCGTCTCCTCCACGAATGTTGATACAAACATCGTCAGGGACTCGTTGTCTGCAGCTGCCTGCTTGAATGCGGCATCGTCCAGGTCCAGATAAGCTTGTGATAGCGCAATCCAGGCTTCGGATAGAGCATCCCAGTCTTGGGGTGAGATGCGCTGCCGCCACGAGGCCTTTGGGAACGGGGCAAAGGGCGGTAGAGAAACCATGGCGTCTTTTTCTACTGGTTTGTGTATGTCGAATAACAGGTAACTTGGTATATTATGGTGTGTGAAATGGACAGAATGAGCAGCTATTGTAGGGTAGAAAAAGGAGCAGCTATCAAGATAAATACAAACACTAGAGCTCTCATATGAAGCTCTCTCTCAGGCATCATCGCCGAATGATTCATTGGACAATCCCATTCCGGCTTAGTCCAAATCTGACAACCAACTGCCCCAGCTGCATCTCCTCCAATCGCAACGCATAGTTTTAAGCTGCCACCATCGCCGCAACGGGACTAGCGCAGCGCACAGCGAAAGCCCTAGCTGGAACAATTCGCAACCCCACCAGAAAAAGTTCCGCGAACTTTGTTGCTGACTTGCAAAAAACATCAGCATCATCAAATCGCCCAACTGTTTTTTCCGGCCTCATCACTTTGCCGATACGAAGATCGTCCCCCTTTCAATTTCAATTATAACGATCCGTTCGAGTCGTGAAGCCGAAATTTCAAAATGTCTTACCAGAAGAACGACAAGGATGTCCAGGAGCCGGCTGTTAGTTTTCCTCCTCCTCCTCCTCCTCCTCCTCCTTTGCGACAGCATAGCAGCAGCTAACGTAACCGTTTGCCAATGAACCACAGAAGAGCCACAAGATCCGCATCACCCTGTCCTCTCGCAAGGTCCAGGTCCTCGAGAAGGTCTGCTCCGAGATCATCGACCGCGCCAAGAACAAGGACCTCCGCGCAAAGGGCCCTGTCCGCCTGCCTACCAAGACCCTGACCGTGACTCCCCGCAAGACCCCTTGCGGTGAGGGTTCCAAGACCTGGGACCGCTTCGAGATGCGCATTCACAAGCGTCTCATCGAGTGCGTTTCGCTACCCTTTCGTCGAGACTGGCGCCAGTTTGCTAACCGTGCATCTCGTTCTGTAGCCTCCACGCCCCCACCGAGGTCGTCAAGCAGATCATTGTCAACATCGACGCTGGTGTCGAGGTTGAGGTCACCATCGCTGCTTAAGCGAATCTCCAATCTCGTAAAAGATGTTGGAGTGACCGATACCCTGACGTCGAGGGCGAGTAAAACAGCCCTCGCAGCAGATAGGCACAAAATAAACTGGTTCAAGACATATATCCATTTGGTCTCTTTATATAATCATTGTGACTTGTGATTTTCTCTCTCCCAAGCAGCCATTGAACGCCGTAGCTTGTCTACCTTGTATGTAGAACATGGAACCGTACTTATAAACGCCCATATTGATCCATTACTTAAACTCCATCTCATATCCATTGGATTCCCGACCATATTCAACATCCTTCTATTCTAGTTAAAAATCCCACTGCGTACATTCTCGCGGCGGGGGCAGCTCCGGCATCAGGCCACCGGCGAATTCTCCCGTCTCAGCAAAGGCGGCCCATTGCTGTTTCAACTGGTCGCTATATTCTTCAATGGGCAGCGCTGTATCCTTGTTGTAGCCTGGAGGGCCTTTGGGGAACCAGATCCGTGTCCATGTGCCGTCAAATGCGCGGATCCCAGGCAGCTCGCCATTATATGTTACCGGCTTCCCTTTGAACATGGTCAGCCGGCCATCCATAGACCTTGAGCTATAACTGTCGATATTTGGGTGCTGTTTCGAACTGCCTGGAGGGTAAGGGTTGTTGCTGCCCACACCGGCTCCAGCTCCCGCTGACGGAGGTTGCTGAGCCGCTCCAAAGGGTTTGGCCTGGGAAGATGCGCCGTTTGTCTGATTTTGAGCAAAGGGATTGGCGGCGGGCTGTTGCAGTTGCTGTTGTTGTTGCCCAAACGGGCTCGCATTGTTCTGCGCAAAGGTTTGGTTCGCCGGCGCCCCAAACGGTGACTGAGTCTGAACAGGTTTCTGTTGAGAAAATGGACTTGCAGCATTCTGATTCTGAGCTGGAGTCGCGAATGGATTGGCAGCAGGGGCGGATGGTTGCCCAAAGGGACTTGGGCTGGCGCCTGCCGCAGGGCCGAATGGGTTTGGCTTCTGCCCAAGAGCGGACGGTTGGCCAAATGCACCTCCTTGCGCCTGAGGCTGTCCAAATGGACTAGATTGTGTGTTTGGCTGAGATGGTTGGCCAAACGCAGGAGCACCAAATGGACTAGGCTTGGCCCCGAGCGCGGACGGCTGACCAAATGCCGAGGCCGGTTGTGATGGTTGAGAGAACGGAGAAGCTGTTTGCGATGGCTGTCCAAATGCTGAGGGTTGAGATGGTTGGCCAAACGCAGGTTGTGATGGCTGTCCAAAGGGGTTGGGCAGCTGTCCTAAAGCGGACGGTTGGCCAAACGAGCCTGTCGTGGGCGCCATTGCAGCAGCGTTTCCTCCGAACGGATTTGTAGTAGTAGTTGTAGTATTCGCGCCAAATGGATTCGCAGCATTGGGTCTTCTTCCCACTTGAAACTCGCCAAATGGTGCGCCTTGGGTTCCCTCTTTGCATATGTCGTGTCTGTTTGGATGCCGGTTTTCCGCTTCCACGATGAATCGTGCCGCTTCCATCGGGTTTCGCGCCGCGGCGTCCATTTGCTGCTTTGCATTTTGGTATAATTGTTGTGCTTCGTTGAGCTGCGCGCACCATCGTTAGAACAGTCATGAAACAATTTATATGTATCGAGCATCCTCACAGCCTGCTGCTCATTGCCTGAGGCTTTGCCTATGAGGTAATGAAGTCTGAGTTCTTCAAAGCTCTGTTCGCGAGGATACCCTCCGAAGAGCTGGTCTGGAGCGTCTCGCCCCGGGGCATACGCAGAAAGAATCCATTGGGGCGCCTCTATCGTCAAGTCTTTCTCGATCACATCGGGAGCTAAGCTGTATTTTGCTGTTCTCGAGTGTCAGCCTCCATCAAGAAACGATTCGGCGTCATGCATCATCTTACACAACGCGCTCTCGCTCCCACCCGTGTTAGTTCCTCCCAAGGCTCCGAAGCGGTTCGAGGGCTGATTGCGATTGCCACCGGCATTAGGGTGCTCGTAGCGACAGCTGTCTACCAAAGGGCGTTAGGACCTCTTGCAAGGTGAAAATGTCGAAGTGAAAAAGGTGAATGAACGTACTGCCGAACTTGCAATAGCCCTGCTGGTAGAATCTGCACACCGCCATGGTGGGCAGTCAGCGGAAGATGATTGATTGTAAGATGGTTGCATCAACTATGCCATCGCGAAATATCGCCGTTCCAACGTCGTCTCACGATGTTGTCGCGAGAAAGGTGGAAGAAACGAAGGATCCGGAGCAATTGAAGGTTGGCGATTAGATAGGCCGGAAAGATAAAAGCAAGCGCCTGGGTAGGCAGCCTTGTGCAGCCTTGGGGCGGTTTTTAGTGGTTCTCCAGCGCCTACGGGAAGCGGCTGGCCAATCACGTCCGCCCCTTGCATTGTCTCTTATTGTCTTTTGTCAATGAATAGATGCTCTGGGCAAAATGGGTTGAATTAAATCTGAGTTTGTTTTTTAAACTTGCAGAAATCTTAAATCTAGCCTCTAGATTCCTGATGAGCTCGTAGATGTCTGTAAGTCAAATGTTACTGAAGGGTGCAATGCAGAACAAAAGTACCTCCTTTGGTATTTTATGTGGAAAATGACTTCTCTCCTCGCAGCTTAGACAGAACTCGCCCCAAATCGCATCGTCAATATCCTTGCTGCACCATATGTGACTCTTCCACTTTATAATCACTCTTGGAAAATTCTGTTTGCCTTACAAGTATTGAAAAATTCTGCAAAATTCTGCTCCTCCATGTCTGGCTGTTCAAGTCTGCTGGGCTTGTGTTGCCTGTGCCCAGTAAAACAACATCAAATGCGCCAAGTCAAATATCTTTCAGAACACAATCACGAATCAACTTCAATTTAAACATTTTATTGCATTTTTTATTTGAATTTTTCATATCATTGTGTAAATTCGTAAAAATTGGTCGCAAACCTCCAATGCCGCCTTCATGCTTTGTACATACATGGTCTCATTCTTACCTGTGGACCTTCAACTAAACTTGGTAAAAGCGAGTCCAATCTGCCCTCGCTCACCATCTCCTCCTCCAACATCATAACGTACACGACGCAAAACATCAGCTTAATACTTTTGAGCCAACTTGAACTCAACGACGGGCCCCTTCTTGGCGCTGGTGAAAATATCCGCCAGCTGGAACTCCTCGGGACGGTGTCGGCCCCATTCCAGGTCAGCGCGGCCCTCGCTAGGGTCGGCAACACCAACGGCTCTTCTCATGTCATAGAGGTAAAAGGCTCGAGCAAGAGTCAGGGTCATCTCAACATAGGCCAGGCCCTTGCCGATGCATCCGCGAGGCCCAATGCTAAAGGGGCAGAAGGCGGCCTGAGCCTGTGCAACGTCTTCCACGGTGGACGCCCTCTTGAGGACGGGGTTGACAGCGTCCTTGATCCATCGCTCAGGAGCATAAGTGAATGGCTGGGGGTAGTACTCTTCGTTGTGATGGATGTTGTAGTGGGGGGTTCCGACGACAATTCCAGCAGGGACGAAGTGGCCATCGATGGTGATGCCGCCGGGCAAGACCTCACGAGGCAAGATACCGCCGACAGAAGGAGACATACGCATGGCCTCGTCGATGCAGGCACGAAGATAGGTGCAAGATGCAAGAGTAGGCCCCTGGACAATCTCTTCAACGTCGGAGAACTTGCCTCGGATCTCGTCAACAACCTTTTGCAGAGCGTGGGGGTTGCGGGTAAGGTAGAACAGGGTAGAGGCCATGGCGGTGGAGGTGGTGTCAGATCCGGCAATAATGCTGGTGATTATATGTCAGTACAGGGGTTCATGAGGGTGCATCAGGTATATATATATCTTCGGGGATGGCTTACAGCAGGTTGGACTCTCCCCACAGCTCGGGGGTAGAGAAGCCCTGGCCGGTCTCAGGATCACGAGCCTTGAGGAGGTAGTAGAAGAAATCGCGGCGGTCAGTCTCCTCTCCAAGCTTGGTTCTCTCGGTCAGCTGGGCCTTGCTGTAGGCCATGTAGCGGGCACGTCCAGCGGCGAGCTTGGGGAACATGATCTTGTCGAACTTGAGCTTGTCGACAATGGGCATGGTACCGCACTTTTTTTTTCAACCGTCAGCATACTGTGTGAACTCTTGTGGCAATGGAATGGCTTACAAGAAGATGTCTAGTAGTGGCAGCTTCGACCAGGTCCAGGGCAAAGCGGTTCTCTGGGCTCTCCAGCATGTGGAAAGCCTTGCCGTAGCTCAAATCGCCAAGGATGTCCATAGCAAGGTAGTTGCACCAGTGCGCCATGTTTCGCGGCCGAGTCCAGCCCTTGGAGTCGGCATTTCCGTCCTGGAGGCCAATCTGCTCGCAGAAAGTGCGGACGTTGTTGAGGATGTATCGCTGCATCTCCTTCATGGCACTCTCGGAAAAGGCGTGAGAGAGCACGCGTCGCTTGCGGGCGTGAACCTCCTTGTCGCGAGTGTTGTGGGTGTTGGCAACGGGGTGAGCAAAGGAGTTGTAGAATTCAGCCTTGCGAACATTGGACTTGAAGCCGTAGATGTCCTTGAGGGACTGTTGGGTGCTGAATGAGAGGGAGTTGGGGCCATAGCGGACAACCTTGCCTGTGAAATCAAACCATGTCAGCTACTACCAATATCGACGATTTCGCAGTCTTGCGACTTACCGTATTTCTGGTGCAGTCGCCAGAACTGAAGGTGGCGGTCTCCCTTCCAGGCGTGGTAGAGCTGGTAGCCATCCGTGAGCTTGGCGATGAGAGGGCCCGGGTATTTCGCCAGAGGGTGGAAGAAGACGCGGTAGACGACGAATGAAAAGAGCTTGATTTTCACGTTAGCTCTGCCAGCTTCACAATTCCCAGCTCATCCGACTCTTCCGTCTCGTGATTCTTCATCTCATCTCGTGGACAACTTACATAGAGAGCTCCCGCTGCGAGCAGGAGCCCCAGCCACGCAACTGGGTGTTGATTGCTGAGCGACAGCATTTCCGCAGAGTTCAGTTCAAACCAGCCAAAAGTCGGAGTATATGGACTCTTCTGCTGAGAAAGAAGAATGACTGGAGAATAAGAAATGAAACAAGAGAAAAAATAGAGCGAAGAAAAAGCTACAAATAAAAAAAAAGCCAATCCATCCGGTCCCTCTACAATCCGCCCCAATGCTTACCCGCAACAAACCCCCCCAGGCCAACAGTGTTTCACTCGTCCGCGTCTTGCATTCATCGGCTTCCCACGGCACACAGCGTGCCCAGGCTTATCGATTACACATCCACGAACGCTGTTGATGCTGCATTTTGCTGGCAAAAGTTGATGACATCGGTGGCCCAATCAGCTCTACTGGCGCTTAGGTTCGGCGGGGAAACGTTTTCAAGGTCTGGCGCCCGCCGGTTCTGGGGGGCCTGTGCGGGGGAGGCCCAGCATTATCTTGCATGGATTGATTCGATTTGAATTGCGTCGTGTGCAATTGGGGGGGGGGCCAGATGTGGAGGAAGGGCGAAGGAGATCTAGATTCCGTCGGCATCAATCCCTTTTCCCTTTTCCGCCGGCTTCTGGTCACGGGGACGGCCATGGAGAGAGTACGAGTACATACAGCATGCTCGAACCGGTGAAGAGGGAGACGTCTATGCAATCAAAGGTAGGTCCTGTGCAGTTGACTGAGAGTAAAGTTCGGGCTGTCTTGACCGTATTACAACGGATGTCGCAAAGCTTCAAAAGCCGAAAAGCACGTGGCCACCCCAAAAATCCCGGCAATACAAAAATTCAAATTGATAAAGAAAAGTGTCCGAGCAACAAGGTAAAAACGTCATCCTCCCCGACATTGACCGATGACGAATGGATGGATTGCATAAGCCCCCTTTCTCCCCTTCCGTACAACTACGAGTACTCATATATTCCGTGCATAATCAATCCTCGTTACACAGCAGGCCGGCAGAACAAGGGACAGACGAAAATAAAGTTCAAAATCAATAGGGGAAAAAACAGCTAAAATGAAAACGAGCGTCAGAGGCGATTGAAGCCGCGCCTTGGAATCAATTCCGCCCCCGTTCCGCGTGCCGAAAAGCGGATGCCGCCGGTAACCAAAAAAAAGATGCAAACAGGGCTCCCCACTTTATCGGACCGGAGAGGAGTGGGGGGGTTTTTTGTTTTTGCGGCCTTCGCGTCCACTTTAACAGTCAATATTCAAGGGGACCCAAAAAGTGAGTGAGTTGAGGTCAATCATTGGCAAGGGCTGGATTGCATGTTGCCTGTTGAGGCTGGTTGTGATAGGGATTAGTATTGGATTTGATAGCCTTAGCAGGGCGATACCGGAGGCAGTCAGTCCGCGGGAATCAGAGCGAGACTGTTTGTTCCACGGCGCCGAAACTCATTTACCACGTTCAACTGCCGTTATCAAGACAGAACCTAGGTAACGAGTATTACTTGCCTAAACGAGAAAACAATACGAGTATGGGTTTGAAATCAAGTGGGAATTTGCCATTATTTCTACAGCTACACAAGTTATATCACAGAATTATTTCCTCCCCCAATCATTCGTTAATCAATAAACAGCCGTTGTCCGTATCAAGTACAATTCCCCCCCCCCCTTTCCCCCCGCTCCTTTCGAAAAGCGAGAAGAAGAAAAAAATAAAAAAGCCAAAATCAACCGCCCCATCACCGCCAAATAACTCCGTCCAGACAAGTGTTACAATCCCGCCGGGCACCGAAATTAGTTGTAGTAACGTGGTTCGTCAAAGACGTGGTATCGATGATCTCTCACACCCTCTCCCCTGAACATGGCGGGATAGCGCCATCCCTCCGGCACGTCCTCCTCCTCTACGCGGTGATCCCGCTCTTCGGCCGTCTGGGCTGCTAGCTCCCGAATCTCGGCATCTGAGCGCGGAATCACAAACTTGGCAGTCTGTAGCTCTGTGTCGGTAATCGTGCTACGGCTAACGCGGGCATAGCCAACGCGCTTGATGTTCTTGAACAAGATGTATTCGCACCACCGATCCCAGTCGGTTGGGTCAACATCATGCATGCCAGAGGTCTCGCTCACATAAGTGTTGTAGTTGCCCTCGAGCGGCTCCGTCACCAAGTAACTTAGTAAGAATGCTGGCCGATCTGTTGAGCCCATAAGGTTCGCCAGATACTCAGACTGAAGTCGTCTGTCCTCCGGATCTTCCTCCTGGCCAGAGTGGAAAACGAATACGTCAACGAGTTGGCCGTAGACGTCCAGAGTAGCATGGATTGCTGGCGCAAGCTCACCCACGGGGCTTGGGAGGAGATGGTGCTTGGATTCTACAATTGGGAACTTGGACAGGAGGGCAGCGCCCCACGTGTGCTTGTTGGGGCCGGGACCGTAGTCGACGTACATGCCTAGATCCTCGGCGAGGAACTGGGTGGTATCTCGGTTGCCCATGATGATACGCTGCAGGTCCGACTCCAGAAGGCCAATCACATCGACCTCCATCTCCTTGATCAGATCACGCATGCGATACTCGGAAGACCACATGTCGTTATCCAGAGAAAAGTGGATCGTCCAGATGCCTGCCGTCAGGACCCGATCTTCAGGATGGTAAGGCTTATAATCGTTAGTAGGGAACCGCCTAAAGGCCGCACACATGAACAAGATGTTGACGATGATGGCTGATAAGCCAAAGTATTTCTTATGCTGCGAGGGCGACGTGCGGCGAGCAGGTTGGTGTCGAGGCCGCGCCGTGTTGAAATCGTGTACACCGGCAGCAATCATCAGCATAGTGGTAAGCATGACCCAATCGGTGTGCTCACGAACCAGCGGGCCACCCGGAACGAAGGCGTAGGCGACAACCCATACGTGGAACAGCACCATGAAGTTGTAGAACAGGAAGCCCAGGCCAAATGTCACTGCTGGGTCCTTCTTTGCGGCATTGGAGATGAGTGGCACAGAGACGGCCATGAGGTATGCCGCCAGACCGAGACCACCATAATAACCAAACCAATGGCTGAAAATCGTCAAGATGATGGCGCTGACGAATCCCATCGCATACTGGGGCCAGCTTCCCGCAAGGCCTGGCCGGTTGACGCCCAAGAAGATGCCCACAGACATGGCAGCCACCGTAAACCAGCCGTGAGTGGAGAAATATGGTCCTCGAATCGGGTAGCCCTCCCATACCCAGAGAATCATGGTGCTGGTGTCGGACAACAATGAGTGTAAGCCAAAAAACAACCCACCAATACCAAAAGCAGCAAAAAGGTTTGAGCCTTGCTGCTTTGGCTCATCTGATAAAGAGCCGCCGGTGAGAGGGCCCTTTCTGGTAAATCGGAGAGCAGCCAGGATGCCGAGCACGAGTCCCACGCCGTTCCATCCGCCGTTGGCGGCATGCATGATAGGCCAGATCGGGTTGTTCGTCGTCCAGGCAAACTTCATTGTAGACGACAGAATCAGTCCAATCATCCATCCAAGCAGCTTGGTCTCCAGTCGAACATTGTGAACTGAGTCTGCATGCAGAGAGCTAGCCCAGCCAAGACATGAAAGCCCAACGCCGAGGCCAACTGTACACAGACGAAGCACTGGGTCGAGAACAAGGTATGAAGCAACACCAGATAGCGACAAAAGGTGAACCAGTCGCAGATTGTTCACAACAAAGGATCGGAAGACTCCAATTCCCAAAAGCGATGGCGCAACGGTCACCATCACGAAAGCCTCGAAGCCAGAGATGCCCATGTGCCAGAGTGGGAAGTCTGATGCATGTCAGAGCAGGGGTCTCAAGGGGGAAAAAAAGAGGGCAGAGAAATGGGGAGCTTACACCACACGACAAGTCCAAGACTGGTAAGCATTGACCAAAAGACAAACTGCAACGAATTAGCATCCAGGGGGTTGAGCATATATATCCTCAATCAAGCATTACTAACCCCGTGGTATACACTGGCAGCAGTGTCGAGAGCGTCGGCTGATGTAAATCGGATGGAGAAAAAGCCGCCTGTAATCTGTTCCTTTCTGAGCGAACCCACTCGTAAGCGACTGCAAAATCAAACGCCTAGGCATGGAGGAACTTACTCCTTCTCCAAAACTGCAGATGGGACCGAGGAGAGGTTTTCACTATCGAGGAAAAGAAGGCTTATTAGAAATGTTCTCGTAGAATAGCTACACTGGACAAGAATTGACAAAGACAAGTTTCTATCTGGGAAGCCATTGCACGTACCCCTTGCTGATTCCCTTGACATCCTTTACCGAAATCTCAAATGTATTAAAATCGAGGGCCGTAACCGCATCGAAGGCCACGTCAAAGAGAATCAATGACCATTCAAAAAAAGCATACGTCGTATAAGCTAGAACATCGTTAGATCCCATTCGTCGTCTCCCAATGAACGGACTGGGGGGAAATACCTCCAGCTACACGGTGTACTTTGTGTTGGATGAAGAAGTAGATCAGAGGAACCAGAGTTCCAAAGAAGAGGCCTGCCAAGCGCTTGCGCCACATGATGGCGGAGGGGTTTGGCGGACTCAAGGCAATGCAGCCAGTTGTCCACGGCAGAGTGCAAACGATGTATGATATCATGAGAATATCGTGCCAATCGTGATCGTCCGTAGATGTGATGTACGTCCAGCCACCACATGTCAGGGTCCGCAAAAGGCCCATGGAAGCGACGAAGCCCGGAAGCTTAGAATCGGATCTACGAGTCAAAATGTACCACAAGCCGACGAGCGCAAAACGAGGTCCTACAAGCGTCAAATCAAGTCAGTCTCCTCTCTCGTACAGTACAATGCTCTTCGGCCGCGTCTACCTGATGTGATTGCGATAAAGATCATGAAAAACGAGCGCTCCGGGTATCGGTCGCCGATCGTCGCAGAGACCGACGGGAACCACTCGTCTGGGTATCCGTAGAATTCATTCTCTACGATCTTGTGGTAATGCAGAGAAACGCCGACTATCAATGCACTGATGAATGCAGCTGGCGACAAAGTTAGCAAGCAAAAGACAAAATCGCATCGGCCTCTAGTTTGCGCCGCAATCCCCGAGCTCCCCCCAGCTTCACGGCGAACTTACTATAAGCTACAGCCGTATGCGCCCAGCTAACCCACTGCCCATTAAAGCTGAGGACAACGCCGCCGTCCTTGTCCTTGTATCTCGACGCCATCGCGACAAAAGAAAGAAACGCAGGTCGCAATCAAAAGAGCGTCCGGAGCATCCGGAAATAAGGACTGGGAGAGTTGAACGAGGGGAGGTTTGAAATCATCAGAGACTGGATTTTTAGTCGCCCGTGCCGAGGGCCTTTCGCGATCGTGTCAACAGGCGACTTGCCCCCCTGTGCCCTGCCGTCTGTGGGGATGACAAGGATTGGATGAGCAGAACACGTCTCGGCGCGAGCGTTTTGTGGTTTGAAACCAAAATTTAATGTCGCCCACAGCTGGAGAATGCACAGCCTACTAGTCCGTTTTCAGCCGCCACGCCTTGCAGTGATGAAAGAGATTGCGCACGCAGGTCAGCTTTACCGCAGCAAATGCAGTGACTGGCATCATCTATATCATTTACAGTGTTTGATTGGTCAAAAATAAGACAAAACAAATCAGCAAGCGACCCCCGAAACTGCGCAGCATCAGTCCGATTCATATAGACAATTTTAGATGCTCGAACGGTTTTTAATCACTTCGCCCAAAACAAGACTAGCTGCTGTGCGGCTCTCGGCTGGATCACGTACAGGGGACTAATAGGTGCAAGTAAGCTTGATGACGGAAGAGCGAAAAGCCCCGCCAAAATTTCACAGGCCCGCTCGTTGGAGTTCACGCGGGTTCCACTAAAATTTCTGGCAGCCTCATGAAAACTTCGGCCAACGCCAGCTTCAGCATTTGCTAGGAGACTACGCAAAAAACCAAGCTCGATTATTTTCGGGAGAGGCCATTTCGACATGGCTGGGGTCGCAGACAAGGCGAGATTCTATCTCGAACGCTCCGTCCCGCAACTGCGAGAGTGGGAGGAGAAATCGATATTTTCAAAGGTGGGCGTGGTCTCTCTGAAAGTTTTCAGCAGGGAAAACGGTTGTGAGTGCTGGAACTAACGCCACGAATCAGGATGAGATTCGCTCAATCGTCCAGAAACGAAACGATTTCGAACACAGAGTGCTTTCCCCGGGCAACACGCCTTCCGAATGGTCGTCCTACGCCCAGTGGGAGCAGTCAGTCGAGTCTCTCCGCTCCAAGCGCTGCCAGAGGCTGAAGCTCCGCAACCTCAATTCTGCCCACGCCGGTCAGACTCGCGTCCTGTCCATCTACGATAGAAGCGTCTCCAAACACCCCGCATGCGGTGCGTTGTGGCGCGAATACCTCGCGTACATGGCAAAGGTCAAGGCGGCGAAGCGTTGGCGGAAAACCATGACCAGGGCCCTTCGAATGATGCCCAAGGATCCCGAGATGTGGGTGGTGGCGGCCAATCGATTCGCGAGCGACGGTGACATGGCGGCCGCGAGAAACTGCTTCATGAGAGGCTGTCGGTTCTGCTCTTCAGACTGCACGCTGTGGCTCGAGTACGCAAGATGCGAGATGAGGTGGTTGGAGAGGATGGAGAAAAAGAAGGGCAAGGGTGAAAAGGTAGTGCCGCCTCGTCCGGCAAATGAAGACGACGACCTTCTTCTGCTAGGTGATAGCGACGACGAGGATGAGGATAACGACCTGTCTCTTCCAGAACCGTCGAAAGCACAGGGCACCGTCATCGATAAGGACACGACGCAAGAGCTTCGGTCAAACCCTGCCATGGACGGCGCCATTCCAATGGCCATATTCGATATATCGCGGAGGCAGCCGTTTTTCAAAGCCGAGGTTGCAGAGCAGTTCTACTTCATGTTCGCCTCCTTTAGCAAGCTCTCGGTCCAGCCAAGGATATCTCAGCACGCGCTGGATGCTCTCGACGAGCAATTCCCCAACGATCCATCTACCTGCAACTGCCACATCCGACAGCCACTTTTGGGCGTTTCGCCATACACGGCTGAGTTTCCTCGAAGCCTGGGTGTGGTCCTGCAGCGGCTAGGATCGTACTTGGAGACCACCACAAACAAGGCTGTGTTGGAGAAGAAGACGATTGCCTGGATAGACGCATATCTGCAGTTGGAAGACTTAGACCAGGCGCTTAGAACGGTACTGGAGCACACCAAGGAGAAATTGGGTGGGGAGGCGGCGGCGGCGGCTTAGACTAGACGAACTTGTAACATATTAATGCTACCCTGTAGGTTTTGCTGGCTTATGAGGCATTCTGCGTTGGTTTCTTCATAGATTTCCCTCTGCAGCGTGGTTTAACGTAGCTTGTATGTTTATTGCTTTTGCCATTGACAGATTCGCCAATATTTTCTCAGTCAACATGGATGTTACACGTCATATCGAGGGGGCAAGTTTCTATAGATGCCAATCAATGTAAAGCCAAGGGATGGTGGTCTAGGCTTACAGGTATAGGTAGCATTTTCAACCTGGCGCACCAGCCATAACGCAAAAATCCCAGACATTGGACAAACATATAAGCACAGGAACAACACGCGAAAATGCACGTGTTCCAGCCAATTCTTATCTTCCACGATGATGCTACCCCTAGCTAGGTGATACATCGTATTCGCAGGTCATGGCTAGGTAGAGCCACTTGTCAGGTAGCCACGCGAGGAGCAATGGCGCCTGTTGGTGCGTGGGCTAGCCCTGGACAAGCATTAGTTCCCGTGCACACCACACTCTGCCGTTGGAGTTTAACATGGATGGCCCAGGAGACTGTGTCCGGGAGAAGAGTGATTTGCTCACGGGACTTTTATTAAGGTAATGAGTAAATGAAGGTGTGTTTATGTTCGGCGGCCACGGCGTTGTTAACACGTAGCGACACAATTGTGGATGGTTCGGTATGTTTCGTTGGCCCAATTCCCAGCGGCGCAGCCTGTGGTTGTATGTAAGAGGGATGGATGGATCACCACACTGGTATAGGCAGATTTGCCGGTATTACGAAAACCGTACTTTTAAAAACCTTCCCAACCCGGCGGCCGTGATAACGCTCGCTTCCACGTGCCTGTCCGGAGCCGCGATTTGTCAAGGCAAATAAGCACATGTCGCACATTCCGTTGTAGGTTTTCATGTGCAGTGAGACTCTAGGGTTGTCAAAAACGGTGAGGTTCGCGTCGGCCTGCTTGAAGAACCCTTAGGACACGGGAGTGCCATGTTGGTGGTATGCGGGGGCTTGTGCGATTGGACACCTATCCTTGACCGTCTCTTTCGACAATGGGCGAACGTCGGGCTTGCAGACGCGTGCCTAGTGCAGGACAGTCCGTGGTGCTTTGGATTGGATGATACCTGACGCCTCCGCTGACAGTGAATGGCCTCTTGGCCAGGCATCCCATCGCCAGGATTCGGGATGCCATGTAACAGCATTCGCTCCCCAAGCAAGTGCTTCTTGTGAAAATCGCCTAAGAGAACCGACCAGAGGATACAGACGGCGGGTTTGCCGATGGGATTGGCTGCGAAGGCGGCGCAAAAGCGAGGCCTCGCGGAGGTAATCTCGGCTGGTTGTACGTAGCAACAGACTTGGAGCATCAAAGCGCTCGCAAAACTCCCTTCTTAGCGCCGGGATGGGGGTCTTTGGTCTCCATCTATACTTTCCACCTCGGGAGCAGCTCGCAGAGACGTTGCATAAAAAAACTCTGAAAGGAAAAAAGACAGGCTGTGAGTCAGATCCATGACGAAATCAGCCTGCTGTTTCATAGCGTTTCTGAGATGTCACCGCATCATGCGGCATCCTCTCTCTGTCTTTGCCGACACACTTTGAGGCTCATGCCGTTGCCGGTAGCACGTTTCGAAATCGAGTGTGGAAAAGCACCATTCGGAGTGGATGGCCCAGCCCAGGTAAATCTGGTGCAGCGTCGGCGAGATAAAAGGCTCGTTAGTTGATGCCAATACCGTCCCATCCCTTCTTCCCCTTCCTCTTTTCTTTGCTTCTTTTGATTAAGTGGGTGGCGAGAGAACGGAATGGCGGGAGCGTGGTTAGGCCCAGCCCAGCCCAGGCCACGCATGGCACACAACTTAGTACATGGCTCAACCAGCAAAAAAGGAGGGGGAAACCTAGGTCGGACAGAGCGATTGAATATAAACAAAGAGGGAGGTGATGTAAAAAGGTTCTGCGTTATGCGCGGTAAGCGATTGGTGGCTGGTTTGCCCATCGGCTCTTCGGGCCATGATTAAAGCGCGTTTTGTGACAGAGATGATGGCATACATTACTTGCTGCTTCGGTATTCGTACAGACAGCCGTCAAGCTGTGATCAGCAAACGGTGCTTCCACAGACGCACACTAAAGTGGCGGGCTCACGAGAACAACCGGAGCGAATCTGCCATTATCCGCACGCTTGTCAAACAAAGGCCCATGTCGTTTGGCCAATTTTCTTTTTTCTTTCCAGCTTTCTTTTCCCTCCATCTTTAGTAGTTACTGTATTTCTTACAGGGAAGGGGGGGATGGTGCGTCAAGCCGGGCAGGCGGTTGGTGGTGTTCGGTTGGGCGGTCCATCCAAGTACTCGTACATGATACGTGCTGGGCTTTGTGGGGGTATGTAAAGGACCGCGTGAGGAGCTTCAGTTGACGGGCTCCAGGGGCGAGAGGGAAAAAATATGAGCGAATATACGATAGTGAGGCGACCTGTTTCCCCCCTTTGGGCTGCGGAGCGCTGCCACGGCAAACGAGCTGCTTAGGGGCAAAATAAGATTTTAAACAGAACTTGCCCTTCTTGCTCGAGGTTCTTTGCGGCGGCAACGTGGATGACGAAGGAACTCCAAAGTGAGGACTGCTGATGCTATGGATCAGTGGCGGCGGGCGGGTTTGTCGCTGGCAGCGGAGAATTTAATTGTGTGCCAGCTTCGTGCGCTGAGTTGTAGGTACCGTTGACCTGTAGCTGTACATACAGGCAGCTGGGGCTAATGGCAGGCCCAGGTCCGAGGCAGGTACCAGATTATAGGCAGGCTATTAGGCCTTCTGCCTCTCTCACCCATAACTACCCCCCCTTCCCCCGTTCCTCGCCGGCTTTCCTCCCATTTCAATCTTTTTCATGAACTCCTCTCCCCTCCTTCCGGCCCTATCCAGCTCGGTTTCGACGCCATTTTCTTTGCGCGTTGCCGTGCGTGGCTCGTTTTTGCTTCACGGGCTCACTTACATGGCTAGGATCTGATTACCTCACCCAGCTTGTGTGGAGGACCCCCCACGGGCTGGTGTCAGTCGGGAAGGGCAAAAGCGGCCAGCGAAATACTCAGCACGGAGGCAGTGACGGATCGCCAACGGCAGAGGAAAAGGGCGACAGGTGCCCGTCATGGCCCAGATTCGCCCTCGGGAAACCACCATGGCCAGACGGAAAACATCACGATGCGAGAACCGGTCATGTCGGAGGGGCCGCTGAGAGACTCGACCATGGCCCAGCGGCGCTGCCATCAGAGCGCTGTGACAGGGGTGGCTGACCCTTGTGGAGACTGGACAGCGGCATCAAACGGTGTCACAAGGCGACACGACGACCCCAGGATTCGTACCATCCCAGTCGACTCGGAGCAGGCTGGCGCCATGCCCACTCTCTCGTGCTGGATTTGCTCAGCTTTGATGCCGCTGCGAGGCCTTAGCGGCTGCAAAACGCAAATTGGAATTGCCTGGAGCGACTGAAGCGAAGCGAGCGTCTAAGCCAAACAAAATGCGCTGGACAAGCCCGAGCCTGGTTCGTGGCTTGTTGGTGGGGCCGCCCTGGGCACCTATTTTGGTCAGCCTGCAGTCGATTCCTATCAACAAAGTAACACCAGAGGCAAGCTGAGTCGTTGGGAAGGCGATGCAGCATCCATTGGCTCGGCACGCTGGACAGGAGTTTGGCCCGGAATTGGATGTGTTTTTTCTTTTTCTGGATTTCGAGGTGCGCGCGGTCGCTCGTCACTCTGCGTGGCATATACAACCATGGTGGCAAGGATGAAAATCACCAGAGCCACATCGGCGCCACATCAACGCCAAGTGCCGCTGCATTTTGAGCTGCAGCAAATGAGCCAAAGCAATGATGCAGCTAGGAGTCGAGCCCAATCCTCTTCGACACACCCGCATTGGCAGCATTCAATGGGATATGCCATCGACTTCACGCCCAGGAGCAGTGGTTGAATTCCGCGACCATGTTTCTTACTTGTCTTATCGCAAACTGGGCCTGACCAGGGGAAGAGCATGCACTTGCTGGAACGAGAGTGGTATCCGGAGAGCCTGCACCCCGAGGGAGTCGCTTGCCCGACAGAATGTGCTTCACGACTGGATCTAGTCGCTTTGGTTGAAGTCAGCATTGCGTCGCAGCATGCTTATGGGCTCCTTCGCGGCTTCAAGATGGATGCAGCCGTACTGGTCAGGTTATTGAGCCCACCAGTCGCTGTATCGAAGCAAGCGAGGAGAAAACTGAGCAAGGCGTCATATAGCCTGTGAAAGCCGAGAAAGCAATGGCTGCGGTCTATTCGCAGTGCTCCGAAGACGTTGGCTTTCAGTGCGACCTTTTGGCGATCGATCACGGCAATTGCTTTGTTTTACTTGTGACGACATCTGCGTTCGTTTCACAATACATTTTGCACCGACGGAAGAACAAGAGGAAACACCAGACTGCTAACTATTACTTGTTGGCTCATTGATACAACCAGCAGGATATCGGTGCTTGCGATGCAGATGCTCGCTTTTGGCTAGACGTCGGTCTGAATTTCTTATCCCAAGTCTCTCTTTCAAGACCAACAACCAAGTACCAACCCAACGCCTCTCAAAACGGTTACTTCAACACGACACAATCTTATTCTCATTGCAAAATAGAGAACTGATAGCAGCATCAGTCCATCCTGTTAGTGCAACAGCTGCAAATACAGCGCTTCTGCTAATACGGAGAGCCAAGGCTACTATCGCGACACTAACGCAGCACGTCCATTGGCTGGCGGTCCACTTGGCTTATTCGCGCCGGTCAGCGCTAATCCGAAACCGGCTAGCGATCTCAGGAAGGGAGCATTTCACATCGGCCTGAAACTAATCTGCCAATCCAGCGAGGACTCGCAGTCATCCACCTCAACGCGCCTTAGGTAAGACCTGGCTCGCCATTCACTTCACGTTGCCTGCACCTCCTTGCCTTCTGCTGCCCCCCAGGCGACATACCGAGTTGTCTCTATCGCATCGCGACGGCTAGCGAACGCTTTTGCCCCGAGTTGTCGAGAGTCTGGGCGCTGCGTGGGTGTCGCTGAGGTGGCTCGTTGTTACTGCATCAGCGCTGATCCGACGCCTGCACCGAAAATTTCTCCTCCAGCACGCGCTCGCTGCCCCTGCGCTACATCCACTGGAGCTGGTGGCCATAATTTTATAGGCTGGACGGCCGTACCGGTACCTCGACACGCCCGACTCGCGGCGGCTGACCTGCCCAGCGCAAAGTATCCGTACACGAGCGCCGCTACTTCGTCTCCTAATCTCCTGCACCAAGTCCGAGTAGCAGCCATTGGACACCCTCGGACCCGTCGCGGGTATCACTAGGTACGTCCGTTTGCTAGCGTCTGCCGCCCTGCCGCGAGGTACCCCCATTAGAGGCCGCTCCCCCCTCTCGAGAGCCCTGGGTGTCTGGGTTTCTGCCGGCTTCAGCGCCTGCTGCGCCGCTCCCAGCACGCAGGTGGCCCAACAGCCTGCCTGGCCAGCCTGCTATGGCTAGTGCTACCTGCCCAGCGCCCACCCGAAGCCCCCCCCAGCCAGCGCTCTTTGTCTGGCTGTCTGCCATTTCCCACCCGACACCACACGCACACACACACATACACATACATTCTCTCCGCCAACCCGCGACGCGACTCAACGTTGTCGTCCATCAAACCACCCACTGTGCCGTGTTACGGCCCCGTCTCCATCCATCCCTGCGCCCATCAATGGGCTCTTGGCCTCCGTGCCTGCTGATTTCGCTGACGTCGCCGCGCACAGCTTGTCGGGCTCATCGCCATGAGCACCTGGATGAACGACGCAGTCCCGAACCACAATGGCAACGGCTTCCCGCACATGAATGACCCCAGCGCTGCCAGTGCCATGATGGACCCTTCTGCCTTCATGGCCAACCCGGGCCAGTTCAATCCGGCCGCCCAGTTTTCCAATCAACAGCAGATGGCCCTGCAGAACGGCCCGATGCGCCACGCCTCGCCCGCCGGCTACCAGGCGAACCAGGTCTACCAGACCAATTCTGTCATTCCATCAAAGCGGCCTCGGCCCCGTGAGGATTCCATCTCCGGCTCTCCCAGGCAGAATCCGGGCATGCTTCCGACGTCGCGCTCCGAAACGCCGCAGCAGCAAAGCTTCCCCGGCTTCCAGCCTGGCGCCTTGCCGCAGCAGAATGCTGGCCAGTTCTCCCACCTCCAGACCAACGGCTCGGCCAACGCAAGCCCCTCGCCCATCATGGGCAACCAGATGCGCCCAGGCAGTGTCCCCCAGAGGGTGGCGACGGCCTCGCCTCACCCGTTTTCCCCGGGCGCTCAGCAGTTTGCTTCTCAGACGTCGCCCATCACCTCGGAACACGGGACGCCCCAGCCGAATCCTTACATGCAGAACATGCCTCAAGGCTACAACCCGGCTTTCGCGCAGTCCCCATCGAATCCGCGCCCATCACCAAATCCAAATGCGATGGCGGGCAATCCCATGATGGCCCAGCAAATGGCTCAGATGGGACAGCCCATGGGCCAAATGCCAGCTGGCATGTATGCTCAGTTGCAGCAACAACAACAGCAACAAATTCAGCAGCAACAGCAGCAGCAGCAACAGCATCAGCAACAGCATCAGCAACAGCAACAGCCTCAACAACCCCAGCAGCAACAACAGCGACCCCAAAACCTGACTGAAGGGCAGAAAATGGCCGCGTATCAGATGCGGCTCCAGCAGCAACTCCAAGGCAACATGCAAATGCAGGCTCAAATGCAAGCCCAGGGTATGGGCCGCGGAATGATGGCGAAGCAGCCGCAGATGCCTGGTGTACCAAATGGCCAGATGCCCCAAGGACCGATGCGACCTCAACACCGACCAACTGGTAGCATCAACGGAGAGCAGTTCATGAAGAATTTAACAGGGCTCATGAATGCTAAGGGCCTCCCGTTTGATCCAAATCCCATGATTGGAGACCGGCTGGTCAACTTGATGATTCTGTTCCAAGCTGTACAACAAAAGGGCGGTTCGAAGTCGGTGACCGTTGCCAATGGCTGGGGTCATGTCGCTCAGGCCATGGGACTTCCGGCGCAGCAGCCTAATGTTCCCTTTGCGCTCAAACAGATCTACGAGCGTAATTTGTCAAAGTTCGAAGAAGTCTGGATAGCTCAGCAGAAGCAGAGAATGATGCAGCAGCAACAGGCAAATCTCGCGAACCAAGCCGCGCCGCAAAAGCATGCCGCGCCGCCTCAACAGATGAATCAAGGCCAAATGCAGCCGGTGCAACACCAGCAGCCACAGCCGCAGCAACAGCAACATCAACAGCAACATCAGCAGCAACATCAGCAGCAACATCAGCAGCAACATCAACAGCAACATCAACAGCAAGCGCCACCCCAACCTCATGTACAGCAACATACTCCTGTGAAATCTGGTCAACACTCAGTCAACGGCTTCTCCACTCCGCAAACTCCACAGCAGCTTCAGCAACCAAACACCATCCCTGGCCACAACAGAAACAGCTTATCGCGCGGTATTGACCCAACTGGACCAAATGACTTTTCAATACCATCGCCAGCTCACTCGCGGGCGGGAAGTATGCTTATGGGGCCAGCCGACGGCAGAGCAGTTGGTGTCATGAATGCCGAGCAGCAAATGCCACGGCCTCCCCAGAAGTCTGATAGCTATAACCCGTGCGCGCGAGAGCTTTCCACGTATGGCGGTGTCGACCTCCATGCAGCGAATCTGTTAGGCGCAGAGCTGGAGCGGTGGAAGCCAACTGTTCCTCCAGTAAACGACCTTGGTAACATTGATATAGCTGCACTGACGCGTAGCTTGCAAAGTGGGATACACGGAGAAGTTCGTCTTGCTCTGGATACGCTTGCGACAGTATCCCATTCGCCGAACCAGGCACATTTCCTGCAGCTGCGATACTGTGATGACTTGGTGGATGCGCTCATCGACTGCGCAGAGGAGCAGCTCGAGCTATTAACAGAGCACACGGCAGAAGTATCCGATGATATCCAGCTCACCCCATACGAGGAAGTTGTCAGAGCATGCCGCATTGAGCGATGGGCAATTCGGGACGTTCCCGCCTTTGGCACTGACGAGTATGAACTTGACCGAGCCGTCGATCGATTAGTTTGCATCTCAACCATTTTACGAAACGTGTCTTTCCCGGGCGAGCAGAACGACAACCATAACATACTCGCCGATGAGTCCGTCATCAAGTTCCTCTGCACTGCCATCAGGTATCTCGGCACCAGGACAATGCTCCTCCGAACTCATAATAATACTCTGGACTTTATGAAGGATGTCGTTACCCTCCTCTCTAACATTGCCAGTTCAATCGAAATACCCGGCCGAGAACAGGCATTGTGTCTGTTGCAGTTCTTGCTGTCATTTGCTCCGGTTCCCAGTCCAGTTTTGACCAACGACACACTCTTCTTCACCAATTACGACCCGAGCGTTCATACCTACCTTCCCCATGCTGTTGATGCATTGGCAAAGCTTCTCGCTCGCGACGAGCCCAATAGAGGCCATTACAAAAACCTCTTCGCTTACGATGCTGCCAACGCCGTTCCGCACGAGCTTCTCACTCGGACATTTGCACTGGCAATTTCACCAATTCCAGACAAAGTTCGGGAGCGCGATCGACCAACAAATTTCCCCTCGCTCGTTGAGGTACGGAAGCCGTATTTGATGCAAGGCCTGTTGTCGGCGGAGATCCTTGCATCTCTAGCTCCAGGGGCTGAGTCAAATCTCGTCAGGAGCTGGTTGAATGCGGGTAACGGCCTGGCGAACAATCTGTTCCGTCTCGGCCAAGAGCTGAGTCGAACGTACGAACAGCCACAACAAGCCTTTGGTCGTGGAGCAGGACGAGCCCCACCGAGGAAAGACCCTGAGCTTGTCTACATCTCTGTCCTTTCGATTGCTTTGCTTCGGCGGTTGGTCGAAAAGTCGAGAGACCCGAATAACCCGGCTTTTTCAGCCGCCGGAGCCTTCTTACCGACCGGGCAGGCGTTATTGGAAGCCCTAAGTATGCATAGCCCTGAGTGGTCCAAGGAGGGCTTATTACAGCATTTGTCAACAATCACAACTCTGGCAGGCTAAGTCCTGATTTTGAATGTTTTAATGTTTGTTTTGAAAAGGTCTAAAATATGAGCATTTGCGGGATCATCGTCCCGTTCACTTTGAAAAGAAAAGAAAGAAAAACCAGGAAGCGAAGGTTGAAGGAGGTTACGTTGAGGGTTTACAGTTGACGGTGTCGACAATGATCAAACGTGTAAATGTTATGTCTGGGGTTGATAATGTTTGTTTTAAACCACCCATCACAATTGCGATGGTGCATAGGTGTTCAATATCAGCGGGTTTTGGAAAGGCGGAATTCTCGCGGACTCATCGCGGCGTCTGTGTACATAGGAGTAGGGATGTTACATACACACTGATACCTCTTTTTGGTGGCCTGGATTATTCGTTTATTGAGTTTGTTGTACATATATATGTTAAGTCATAACATGCGCCACATCTTACAAAGGAGCGTCAAGCTCGGGTCATCTCTTGCCAACGCTCACCATCTCAGCCTCAGAAGTTTGCTTCTTCCTCTTTTATACACGGGCTTAGAAACCACGCTCAAGCAGCCACCCCCTGGCCTTGTCGAAATAATCACCCTAGAACAAAGAAACGGGTTGTTAGCCGCTGAGGCGCCAGAAGGAAGATCCATCCATTATTACCTTTAGTTCTATGTGCTGTGTTGTTGGGTTGATCCGCACATCCTCTCTAGCGACACCAAGCGCACCAACTAGATCCTCTAATAGCCGTACACGATCTCCGTCGACCTTCTTGATCAAGACCACCTGGCGTGTGCCGCCTGACTGCCACCTCCGGTATATAGGCAGCTGGACAGAAGGTGTGCGGCGCACTATATAGCCAAGGCTCACAAGCTCTTCTGGGGTTTTGGTTGGCGGAGGTACAGGAGCGCGACTCAATTGGCGCAAATGTTGGGGAATTTTGAGCTTCTGGTTGGGGTTTTGTCGAGACGAGGGTTTTGTCGAGATGGATGCTGCTTGGTTGGTGGAGAGGAATGCGGTTCTTGATGCGAAGGCGCTGATTTGCGTCTGTACTGCAGGCCTATAGAGGCCCGCACTCCTCAAAGGGAGAGCTCTAGGCATAAGGTAGCTCATGTTGAGTGTAGCGGTACAATGTATTAGACAACGGCTTGGGCTCTTTGGGTTCGTGATTCGGATCGGATTTGGTGAAAGTCGATCATATGGCGGAGATGGATCCTTGCGGCAGGGTTCGTATTTGATCGTCTCGTTAGGGAATTGAAAAAGCAAAAGATCTGAATGACCTAGTAAACGGCGAAAGCCACCGTCACAACGACGCACGAGCTTTCAATTCAGCTCGGTTGCCGTCTTGCGTCTCTACTTTAGAGCCTTCAAAGTTGCTTTTTGCTTCAAATCTCCAGATCACATGATGCGCCGCAAAACTTTGGTTCTTTGGCGACAGAAACCGGCGGATGTTCGGGTAAAAAAAGCGCAAACCCCCCCACACCACTTTGTGTATTCGCGAAATTCACCAAAAATCTGCCCCTCCATTTACAGGCGATCCTTTTTTGCAGAATTAGCGACGGAAATCCTCCTCGTCTTCGACCGACCCAAGGAAACACCTCCCAATACCCCCGTTCACCTCCGCCGCGGTCAGACTCTTCACCTACGAAATTAATTCCCAATCATGGAGGATATTCTCAAGGCCCTGCCAGCCGATGGCGCGTCAATCATGCCCAAGGTTGCGCCGCACCTAAGCCGTCACCTGCTCTTCCCGCTTATCCAGTTCGAGGGCGACCAGGCCGAGGAGAAGGGCGATGCCGAGCTGGCCAAGAAGATCCTGTCGGGCAAGATTCAGCTGCTGGACGACACCAACATGACGGACTACGTAGCGTCGCTATACTGCGAGCTGCACGGGGTGGCCGAGGCCCCGGCCGAGTACACCAAGAAGAGACAGGATGTGCTGGCACAGCTGGACAAGTACGAGAAGGCGACGGAGCAGATTGCAAACCTCCTGACCCAGGACGAGGTCGTCAACGGGCTGAGAAGTGACAAGGTGGCCAACTTGGAGTTTCTCAAGAACCAGCACGGAGTAGGTGGAAATCCCTAGCACAAAGCAAACCAGTGAAATTGCTTTGCGTGTCCCAAAATACTAACTCTTTCGCAGGTCACTATTGAGATGGTGAATGCTCTGTACGACTTTGGACAGTTCCAGTTCCGATGCGGTCAATATGGCCCTGCTGCCGATATGCTCTACCAGTTCCGAGTTCTCTCCACCGACAATGACAAGGTGGCCGCTGCTACATGGGGAAAGCTGGCTTCCGAAATCCTCTCCACAAACTGGGAGTCTGCTGTTGATGAGCTTAAGAACGTCCGAGAGGGCATTGACACGAGACTCTTCAACAACCCTCGAGCCCAGCTTGACCACCGGACCATGCTTATCCACTGGTCTCTCTTCCCCCTGTTCAACTTTGAGGGTGCCCGGGAACCCATCCTGGACATGTTCTTCTCTGCTTCCTACATCAACACCGTCCAGACCTCTTGCCCCTGGATTCTGCGGTACTTGATTGCCGCCGTTATCACCGGCCGCACACGTGCACGCAACAGCTCTGTCCAGCAAAAGCAGCTCAAAGACATCGTTCGATATGTTCGACAGGAGGCCTACGAGTACGCCGACCCCATCACCCAGTTTGTCAACGCCCTCTACATTGCCCACGACTTTAACGCTGCTCGTGAGGCTCTCCGCATGGCCGAGGAGGTGTGCCGCGGCGACTTCTTCCTGGCTGCGTCCACTGATGCCTTTGTCAACGCTGCTCGACACCTCATCTGCGAGAGCTACTGCAAGATCTTCAGCCGGATGAACATCAGGGACCTGAGCGCCAAGCTTGGCTTGAACCCTGACGATGGAGAGAAGTGGATCGTGAACCTGATCCGCGAGACGCGCCTGGACGCCAAGATTGATAGCCAGGATGGCACTGTCATTATGAACCACCCTCCCAACAACGTTTACCAGCAGGTCATTGAGAAGACCAAGGGCGGATTCTTCAGGACACAAGTCCTCAACGCTGCTGTCTCCAAATAAAAGTAACGGGGACTGCCAGCAGATGTATTCGTAACAAATCAAATAGCAAAAGCGAAAACTCGTCTAGAGATCGACTTTTTTTTTCTGAAGAAGGGGGAAGAGAGGGGGGGTTTTCGGGGACAGATGAAATGCTCATGCCTCACTTCTAAAAAACTCCGAGATTTTGAAAAGGCAAAAGAGGACACACTTTTGGGCTTGCTCGCGGACGGGATGGGGGTTTTTTTTTTATTGAAGACACCAAAGAAAAACCGGCGATTTTTTTTTTTTTCGCATTTCGAGGCTCCTCCAAAAAGAAAAAGGGGAAATAAAAGAGCAAAGAAAAACGGTAGACCGGCCCTGTTTTTTTTTGTATGCTTTATTTCTCTCCCTCTCTCTCTCTCTCTGTAGTGATGCGGTTTGCATTGCATGGCGTTTATTCGGATAAGACCAGGGGACAAGGGAGGATGTCTTCTTGAGGGAGGGAGCAGGGCTGTAATGAAATTATTCTTTTGTGCAATGATGAGAAGTTTTTTCAAACGTTTTCGATCGACTCTTTTTGCTGTGTGTTGTGATGAAATGTGAAGATTATGTATATTATTCTTTCTCTGAGTTGCTACTGCATCAAATCAATAATTGAGTGCTGGCTAACCATCACGATAAAAGTAATTCCCATGTTTCTCAGGCATGTCTATCGTCATTTTTCTACTCTACCTGATTATATACCACTGATATTCATAACGCTATCATGATCATGATTTCAACTACCACAACATCCCAGTAGCAAAAAAAAACATCCACGCACTCCAGCCAAAATCTACTACTGCTCATGGTGTCGGGCCGCCATCCAGACTTTTCCCTTCAAAGCCTCAATAGCGCCGTCTCTCATCCACCAAATATCCTCCGCCTCATCCTCCGTCTCCTCATGTTGTGCGGGAGCATCCTCTCTCGACTCGTCCTGGGCATTTGCCGGCTTGATAGTGCCCTGGCTATCCGTCATGGCCATCAACGAGGATTGGCGGAGGGTATCACGAGAGTCGCCCCATTCGAAGAGCAATCTCGCACCTTCGAGACGCTCTCTATCGCCGCCTTCCATGACGCCCCGTTCCATCTCGAGCCTTGCATCTACGGCGCTTCCCATGCCGCCTTGCTGTTCATCACCGGTATCCAACAAGGCTGCTTTCTCTGCGTAGCTGAGATCTTGCAAAGCATCTAGGCTGAGGACCCATTCGAGGGGATTCTCGCCCTTTTCTTGCTCGCCGAGAGCTCTCAGGGTTGACGTGAAGGTGCCCTCGCGATGTGGCCGTCTACGGAGATAGATATTCTGCGTCTGCGCGAATGTTTTTCGGAGTTCCTCGTTTGAGAAGTCAAGTTCAACATCCCAGTATTGTGGACCGCCGGCAGTGGTGACGCTGGATATCTGGTCGAGAGGAGGCAGCAGACACGGGGTTGTTCTCGACAACACTGACTCAATAGACGAACTGCCTCGCATCTTGATATGTACGGGCACAGAGACTGGTTGTGCTGTGAGTGCATCCTTGGCAACAAGACAGCGTTGTTCAGCCGCCAGGACCCAAAAGTGTCGAAAGGCCTGAAGATGTGACCGGTTGTCCATAACGTTTACCGGGAAAATCGGATAAAAGGCCACCAGCAGTGCTGCAATTGCTTTGTTACTGGACCCAAAAGTAGCGGTGCCACAGCCAAGGAACAGCGCTCCGATGGCAAGATGGGCTGCGAGATGTGAGCCATAAGGGGTATCAGGGTCCTCCCTTCCGTGCAGAGCTCGAAGTCGACGGAGCACAGGGATGTCGCCTGTGCCAGCCATGACAATGGAGCAAGAAACTGCGAGAATATCCTGGCACATTCGGGCATTTGTTCTAGCGAGCTCTTCATCGTAGAGTGGAGCGGCATCAGGATGCATTCTCGGCGTTGCCGGCAGCCCCGTGATGCGCATGAACTGATCTAGATAATGCAATAGCAAATCTCGCACCTTGGGAGAGGCACTTCCGGAGAAACGCAGAGCGATAGCAAAGCAGAGGCCTGTCAAAATGCTGAAAAAGGGCAGGTCAGATGATCTCAACTTGGTCGTGTTGTGTAGTTTGTGCCGTGAGCGATACGGAACAGGAAGGCTTTTCTGAATCCAGTCAAACGTGGGTTCAATTTGAGACCAAAGAATGAGATTTCTTGTCATAGTCCGTAGAAGGAGAATGTCGGGGCGAACGTAGTCAAATTGAAGCACCGAATCGGGAATATCAATCTTTCGCGCAACGATCTGATCCTCCGATTTCATAAAGATAAGTGCAATAGCCATTACTGCGCCGGCGGAGGCCCGATCCAAAACATGGACAATCTCAACATTCTTCGTTGCGGTAGCGTGTGTGATGAGTTTCTCTGTGAGGCGCATGTCGTGCAAGCCTTTGAGATCGTTTCCCTTGCCAAGATTGATGAAGCCAAGTGCAAAACCGGCTGCAAGACGATAGCATTCGCTCCTCAAGGGCTCTTCCTCATCTTCATCGTCAACATGCTCAATTTCTGAAAGCATAATCTCGCTCATACGTCGGTGTTGGCTACCGCAGTACAAAAGGCCGATTCCCATGATGCCGGATGTTTGAGTGAGGGGCGAGAGGTTAAGTTCCGCAGCGCCTCGCGGAAGCATGCGGGTAGCGTGTACGGAGAGGAGGCGAGTTATGAGAGAATCCATGGTGCCCATGTATGACGCAGCCAGGCCAAGCAGCAGGCCGATAGAGGTCATGGTATGTTTTGGCGTAAGATACTTGAAAGCCACCCATTTTGCAACGCCTTTGAGATGGCCGTTCAGCCCAAGGGCTAGCAGAAATCCAGCATGCCGGTTGCTCATGTCTTGGCTCGGTTTGTTGTACAGGATCCACGAAGTATCAATGCCCTTTGCTTGTGGAGAAATTGCCAGCCCAGCCGCGACACCTTGATGGAAGTACCCCCAGCAAACCTTCTCCTCTGTGAATAAGGTCTTGTCCACGCCTACCGTGACGTTGTTGGGCTTTACAAGACAGTTCAGGTTGAATCCGGCAATATGGAATTTCTGAGTAATGAGAGGGAAGCGAAGGCTGTAACAAAAAAGTCCTCTCCCTGCTGGTATAGCCAAAGTTCCAGTGGCAATCCTGGAAACCAGCTCTTTTTGCTTCTCTAGGTATTCACTTTCGGGCAAACCTGGGTCTTGTGGCAGACTCACAACTCTAGGTTTATGAGTTGCCAACAAGTCTCGGGCTTCTTGAAGGCGGCGATCATCCCTAAATAGCGTCCTAATCACAGCTTGTCGCTCGGTTCCTTCACCTTCGTCATAACCATGGCTATTTGTTTGCTCAACACTTTCACAGAGCAACTTGTATTCCCAACTTGCAGTATGCGTTGGCGTCTAATTGGCTTGTTAATAGATTGCACTAAAGCGTGGAGTAATGATAGTAAGTAACTCACCAAGATGTTTGACATGACCGGACGATGGCTCTTGTTGGAGGTGAGAATCAGGCTGATATCCGTCCGCTTTACCAGCTCCAGCATCTCATCGGACCAGGAAGAAGGAGGGTGAGGTTGACAGAGTGCTATGGCATCCTGAAGAGGTATCAAAATAGCTTCTGGGAGGGTCTCAAGGACATGATTGGTCAATCCGCACTCTTTCATAGCTTCCACCATTTGCACTGCGGTGGTGTTTGCTTTTATAAGCTTGAAGAAGCGTTTAAACATGAGAGTTCGGGGGAGAATAGAGTTCCAGCGGTTGTCAAGCAATTTGTCAGACTTAGATAATTGCGCAGCAGTATAAAATATATCTGCTGGAATGATATAGTGTTGGTCGTGGAGCCCTATAAAACGGGATTGAATCCATTCCAGTATATCTGGCCTAGCTGGTGGCTCAGAGATGGGTGGCTTCAGTCGAAGCTCTTTAATGAATAACCAGTTAGTAAATGAGCTGTTCTATTGAATCAGAATAACGAAAACATACCTTGATCGTGACGTGGGTCGAGGTCCTCTTGTATCCCTAGCTCATAGAATGACGAGTAGTTGTGCCACTTTAGCCATCTAGCAATTTGGCATAGGATCACACGAAGATCGGCTCGACCAGATGGCAGATATTCTGCGGACATAATGTCAAGTTTCTGTTCCTCTAACAGAAGATGGATAGCCATGAAAATGTCCTCGGCAGCTTTTCGTCTGTGTTCAGAACTTCTGCCTAGAGAGGTTGGGAGATATCCGGAGGGCCCGAAAGCATTGATACCAAATGAAGAACCCATATATTCTTTAGCCAGAACAACGTGTCTGGACATGAACTTTGTGCCGAGACCCTGAGTACTGTTTTGAGAAGTGGTCTCCTCTTCATCATCAATGACCCATTGCCATCCGCGATTGATCATCCATGCTGGGCACCCAAGAGAGTTTGCAGTTTCTCCCATTTCAAGAGATTTCCAGTCGTCGGAATCTTTAAGGGAAGCGTATGACCCGGAAGGATGTCTCCGCTTCCGAACCGAAAGTCTCTCAGACGGGGGATTTCGAAGTTCTGACCGATCGAGGTTCAAGAATAGTGCCAGGAGCAGGATAGTCAAGGCAGACCATTCCACATTGCCATCTGCTTTGCCTTGGCTATAGAGCCATTGCATGACATGTAGCCACCCTGTGTGAATACGCTCTCCAACTGAGTCGGGGAAGACACTTCTGCAGATGTTGAGAAGTGCAGACACTGGAGCACAAGACGGCCGCAGCTGGATTTTCAACTGATGGAGACGCCCTTGCGTGTCAACTACGTCGACTACTCCGCGATGCCTGGAGTGGCAGACGCCCACAATACTGCCATTAGTGAGATCTATGATTTCGCTCTTTCGCTGCCTGACGTCTCTGTCGACTGCCCTTCCCCGGAACTGCAGACTTTTTGTGTCATCGACAAAAAGGAGAGAAAGCGAGAGTTTTGTCATCTCACTCCAAGGTGCCTGAGTGCTCAGCTCATGTCGACCGTCCATGGATTCCGACAACACAAGAATTGCAGACTGGTCTCCATCAACTATTTTGCATGAGTCGACCACATTTTGCGCTCTCCGTAATTCGCCTGGTAAAACTGATACTGTAATCGTGGAAGATGACTTCTCACCCCTCGAGGTTGTCGTAACATAAGTCTTTTGCTGTAGTTTGAGAGAAAAGGTAACCAGTTGGAGGCGTTTCTCCATAACTTCTTGAATACCTATAAGCAATTGGCCCATATGGTAACCATTTGTAGCAAAAGGAGGGGCTGCAAGAACAAACACTTTGGCCTGATTCCGAGAAATGCCGCCGGGTGGTGAATAGTGGACGTTTGAGCTATCTATCGGGATGATGTGGATTTTGCTGAAGAGTATTTCATGTTGTAATCCGTCAAACTCATGGTCATCAAGCCGTATATTATGCATGCGATCATCTAAACCGCCGTCTAACGGAGCTTCCAAAAGACTCCCGAGGCTATGATGAGCCTGGTGAATATAGGAAGAGCTGGAACGGCCGTGATTACCAAGAGAATCATGTCTTTTGGAAGACACACCTCCGAGAAGTGATGCTTGATCTGGGAAAACTGCTCTGTCGTAGGAGGCCGAGAGATCCGCACGAGCTAGCATTGAACTCAGCCTGCGTGAGCTCCTCCGCCCAACTCCAACACTTTCCATGTCTTGTTTTTCCCATTGTTTTTCCAACGATGATACCGAATCTAGGGGTTTCTCAAGCTTTTCACTTTTGCGTGATCGCTTCCCTGGAAGCGGTGCACCAAAGCTGTCGCGATGATTTGCCTGTACCGGGGTGGATGCGCCGCTGGCAAACCCAGGCTGCATGGAGCTTCGACGTCGGGACGCCTTTGTGTTTGGATTTGCATGACGCTTGATGAAGTGATCCTCATGTTCCAAATAAGACAATCTCCAGATTGTGTAGGCATTAGCCTCGCGATTGATGGTGACGCCAAGTATCAGAGGCTCATGGGGATGTTCAGGGGAAGTACCAGGGATAACGACCTTCTCAACATAGAGTATTTCTTCAGCGGGATCGAGGAGGCCATGCGTTTTTGAAGCTTTGTTTCTATTCCTTCGGGTTGACGTCGCTTTCTCGACATCTGTCACAACAAGCCCAATGTCTAACAACGGATCGGTGAGAGCCACAAGCCGAGGCCAGTGAGATTCAGGCTGCTCCAACGGCGCATTCCACATGTTTTCCAGCGTCATGTTCAGCCCTACCGGTAGTAACTTGGGCTTTCCGAGGCCTTCCACGGAGAAGGCAGTTTGCTGAGAGCTGCCGAATGCAGTCAGCTGAGACGACACGAAAGAGTTGGGCGGAACTCGAGGAAACTTGAAGGCAATAGGCGCCAAGTTCTCGGCCTTTTGCTTCGTCTGGATGAGGACTCCAACAGGGGCGGCACAGGCTGATTCAACTTCGAACGGCATGTGGACTACGTGACTTGTCCCCGACAGCATGTAGATATGGGCCTGGGTTTTGAGAAAGACCACCAAGCCCTTTTCAAGGGCTGCAGGACGCTGGCCCGCGGCACCAGAAGCTTTGCGGCCACCGCCTTTATCTTCCGAGGTTGGAAAATATGTGAGAAGAGCTTGTGTGATGGATTCCTTTTCAAGATCGAATTTGAACGATTTGCGGAATATCCCCCCACGGCACCAAACCACACACCTGTCGGTAGTGAGCAGCTCGTCCTCCACCTGGTTTCCATCTCCATCGTCGGTGAAAATCTCCCAGGAATAAGACGAGGCAGGCGGATCGGGAGGCAGCAGCTGTTCGTCAATAGCATGCCGAAGCCCTGCCGGTTGATGCAGCCCCAGAGATTGAACAGTTGCCATGCTGGACGATGGACCCCATACGCCGGCTGGCAATGGCTTCGGTTCAGGTTGTCAATATTGCCGCCCACTTAGTGATTGCTGGAGCCCAGCCGAGGCATCGTATCCCACGCAACGGCTGCTATATAGACGTGCGGCTAATATCTTTGGCGGGACATGTGTGTTTCTTTTTGTTGACTCTGAAGCATCTGAAGATCGAGATATTCGCGTGTCGGCGCGTGGTTGGTGGTCAAGCTTTGGTGGGGTCGACTCGACAGCGATTGAAAATCCGGCGCTGGATCGATAGCAGTGGAGGGCAGTTTCAGGGCGCTGACCACTAAAACGGCGAGCTCCAGCTCCCTTAAGGCTCTAGCTCTCCAGCAGCACTAGCGGCATCAGCTCTCTGTAGCTCGTGACGTCGATGCGACCCGGCATCAATAGCTGCCCATCAGGTACCCAAACTGCGGAGTACCTGCATTGCATCGGCATCCTAGCAGCAGCATCATCACCGCCTTGCTTTGCTCCCAGTTTCCACTCTGTTGAGCGGCAGCCGGGCGCTGCAAGCTCTAAAGCCCGAATTGAATCCAGCATCGCTTGAAATCCAGCATGACACATGCTCTATTGCCATCATGACAGGACGGTCGCCTCAGCAGTCGGAGCTTTCCGAAGCTCTGCCACTGCCAGTACCCGATGCGCCCAGCGACAGCTCCACGGCAGCCAACGAGACGGAAAACAGAGACAATGCGCAGTCCCTCTCGACGGGGTCGTTAAAGGATAAGAAGCCTGAGGGCAGACCGACTGAAAGGGCGGAGAAGAGCGTTGAGGGGGGTGCGGCTGGGAAAGATGGCGGTGACGAAGAGGGCAAGCCAAGCGCCAAGGTAGAGGGCAAAGAAGACGAGCACGAGGACGAGAAAGACGATGAAGAGGAAGAGGACGGGGATGACGAAGACGAGGAGGAGGGGGAGGAAGAGGAAGAAGAGGAGGACGATTATGATGATGATGACGACGACGACGAAGAAGAGGACGAAGAAGAGGACGAAGAAGAGGAAGACGACGAGGAACCACTCTTGAAATCAACGAGACTGACCCAACACCTCGGCGCAGTCTATCGCAATGGCGACGCGACCAGCGCCTGTCTAGTCGCGGGCGACAAGATGGTACGGGTCAACCACCGCTAGCCTTTATACGAGACTTACTGACCAAACGCATATAGATTGTCGGTACGCATAATGGCAATATCGTGAGTAAGTCCAAGGCCATCTCGCAGCTCATATAACTAATTGGCCGCCTAGCACGTCATTCAATTGCCTGGATTCAACACTCTACGAGTATATCATGCGCACTCAGCTTCCGTCACTAGCATATCGATATCGCCATATCCTCCCCCCCTTCCAGACGAAAAAGCCGAGATGATTCAACGAGCACAGACCGGGTTAGTTGGGCCACCAACAAGACCATATGAAACTTCTCCCTCGGCAGCAACGAAGAGGATGAGGGAGATCCCTCAAGTACCTAAGATACCGTCGAATGACATCTATATTGCTACATCGTCGATGGACGGCAATGTTTGTGTGCAGTCCTTGGTCGACCTGAAGGATGTTCAACTTCGAAACTTTGCCAGACCGGTACAAGCAGTCGCTTTGTCACCGGACTACAAGTCAGATCGAACATATTTATCGGGCGGGCGGGCAGGGCAACTCATTCTCACTGTAGGCGGTGGTCCAGGCCGCAGTACCTCCACTACAGTTGGCACTGCGGCTGCTGTGGCATCTGACTGGCTTTCTACAATAGGCGTCAAGAATAGCGGCGGAAAAGATACGGTGCTTCATTCTGGTGAGGGAACGATTAATACCATCAAATGGTCTCTGTCAGGAAAATACGTCGCATGGCTCAACGAACATGGAACCAAGATTATGAGATCCAAGCTTCATCTTGATAACACGGAGATTGAAGACGCTTGGAAGAGGATTGGCCACGTTGACCGACCACATACCAGCGAATGGGAAACGATGGCTGGCGTTTGGAAAGGCCGCGCCGAGTGGATAGATGAGAAGTCGGTCGAGAGTGATGAGTCGGAGGACTCCCACGACCCTACCGCTTCTTCACCTACCGTGCCAAGCGCAAAGACTTTTGAAAGGCTTCTCGTTGGTTGGGGAGGGACAATGTGGATTATTCATGTCCACCCAGGAGGCATCGGCCATGGTAAGCAAGCTGGCGAAAAGACCATTGCACGTGCCGAGATAGCCAAGATGTAAGTGGCCCCTTTTATCTCTATACCATTTTGATGGAAATAGTCAATTAGTATCTTATTAACAGCCGTCTAGTCTTCATATAGATTGCATCATTTCTGGAATCTCCCTCTATGCCCAGAATCAATTGCTAGTGTTGGCATTCAGCTCTCCAGAAGATGAAGGCGATACCGCAGAAGGCGACAAATCCGGTCCATCACATGCACGAGACGCATCTAAGAACCATAAATCCAAGCATTCCACATCATCTGCAGAAATTGAGCAACAGCATAGTCAACGACAACGTTTGAACGCCCTGCCTCCCGAGCTGAGGCTAATTGATCTCAAGTCTCAGGCTGAGGTAGATCGGCACAGCCTCTCCATTAATCGTGTCGATAGGCTTTCTGCTGCTGACTATCACATGTGTCTCCTACCTGCACGGAATGCCGCCTCCGTAGTAGCATCAACGAAGAGCGCATTGGAGGCACTTGCCGGCATCGGGTCGGAAATGTGGAATGTTGCGGTTAACCCAAGATCCTTGTTTAGCTCTGGCGCCAGTATCCTCAGCGGAGGCAGTGGTGATGACGGCGCTTCTGTTTCCAAAGCTGGGAGCATTGCGGGCACCATACGATCGAGTCCAATCAGAACCAGAATTCCTACCGTACATCCTACGCTGTCCAAACCAGGGGTCAAAATATTCCTTCATAGTCCCTACGACTGCGTTCTGGCTACTAAGAGAGATCTTTCCGATCATCTCACGTGGCTGTTGGAGCGTGAGCAGTACCGACAAGCGTGGGAACTTCTCGACGAAAACCCTGAAATCTTGGCCGAGTCATTCGATGGCATTACCGATCCAGCGATGCCTCCTACGCCATCCAAACACCCGAGCGGAGCCGATGATTTCTTTGACGACGAGTCTGTGGCAGACACAACTCAAAGAAATATGTACTCGGCTGTGGAAAAGGAGAAGAGGCGAGTTGGTGAGCTGTGGATCCGGGAAGTGATTGATGACGGCGACTGGGAGATGGCTGGCCAAGTCTGTGGCAAGGTTCTCACGACTCCCGATCGCTGGGAGAAGTGGGTTTGGACCTTTGCAGGTGCCAACAAGTTTGACGAAATCACCAAACACATGCCAACAAAACCTATGAAGCCACCATTGCCAACGACCATATATGAGGTGCTTTTGGGACATTATATACAGAATAACAAGCCCCGATTCAGAGAATTATTAGACATATGGCCAACCGATCTTTTCGATATCCCTGCCATTACAACGACACTGGAGAATCAGCTTAAGTACCGCGATGTTCGCGAGAACAGCGTCGAGGATGGCGAAAGAGGTCGGGATTGGAAAATCGTCGTAGAAAGTTTGGCCAAGCTGTACGAAGCTGGCGGCCGACATCGTGATGCGCTCAGATGCTACATCAGACTTCAAGACGCAGACTCGGCATTCCGGTTGATTGGTGACTACCATCTTGCGGACGCCGTAGCAGACGACATTCCCGCCTTCATCGGACTACGAGTCTCCCCCGAACGACTCAAGTATATGGACGAGCATCAACTGATTGCAGCAACCGCCGAAGCTATTACTCTGCTGGTTGATGAGGCTCAACATGGCCTTGTGCGGCCTGAGGTTGTTGTAGAGCAGCTGCAAGAAAGAAATCTCCAGTTATACCTATTTTTCTACTTGCGTGGGTTATGGAAGGGCCAAGGAATCGCAGAGCACACTGGAGAGAATCTTGAACGGCTGATCTCGGACAGTCAATCTTTGGTGGATAACTTTGCGGATCTGGCCGTTCGCCTCTTTGCCATATATGATAGACCGCTGCTCATGGAGTTTTTGAAGACGTCGACCTCTTATGGATTCGAAAAGGTATAGTCTTTAACTCCCCTCCACCCCAAACCTGATAGCTGCTTACACTATTCATGAACTAGGCCGTCCAAGAGTGTGAGCAGCACTCATACTACGATGAGTTGGTATATCTTTATTCCAAGACTGGTCAAATGAAGCGCGCATTGTACCTCATCATAGACCGGTTAAACGACGTCAACAAGGCGATAGACTTCGCGAAGGAGCAAGACGATCCTGATTTGTGGGAAGATTTGCTAAACTATAGCATGGATAAGCCGAGCTTCATTCGTGCACTCCTTGAGCAAGTTGGCACGACCATAAATCCAATAACTTTGGTTCGACGAATACCGGAGGGTCTCGAAATTCAGGGTTTAAGAGAAGGACTAATCCATATGATGAAGGAGCATGAACTTCAGCACAGCATTAGCTGGGGCGTAGCAACAGTCTTGCGAAGTGAAGTTGCGACAGCTCAGAATGAGCTTCGAACAGGGCAACGCAAGGGCATCAAATTCGAAGTCCTTTCGACTGACGAGGGAGAAACTGCCGAGGACGAAAAGTCTGAAGGCGTCCCGAAGCCTGGGCAATGCGCAAAATGTCTCGAGACATTCACAGAGTACGAGATGGAAGCATTGATGGGATTTGTGTGCGGACATGCGTTCCACGTAAGCCATTTGCTCGAAATGCTACACAAGGGCAAACAAAACGACATTGATCTTGGAAATGGGCCCGAGGAGGGAAGTCGGTATTCAGTTGGTATGAAGGTGATGAAGGCGAGGTTGTTGAGGGACAGAGTGAGAGGAGGTTGTCCAATTTGCCACCCAACCGAAGCTTAGAAGTGTATGTATGTATGTACATTGGGCGTTTCGTTTTATATATCCCTGGGTCCATTCATAATGTATTGCTTAAGCACGGTGGAGATAGACGATTTGATAATTAATTCTTGTTTTTGAGGAAACTTTGATGCCTTTACAAATTTGTGCGAGTTGTGACACTAAATGTTGAGGATTGTACGGCAAAGAAGAGACGAAGCAAGGATCGGAAATCACGCGTCAATATAATTTTTATCCCACTACCAGAAGGCGTTGAATTGTTGGTACAATTAACGGAATTCAGAGCAAATCTATTCCTGTTCGCCTATCACACAGTGATGCCACTGAAAAATTTCCCAAATGTGCAAATCCAGGTTTTTACCTTTATAACCTGTCCCAACTGCCGAGTTCCATCGAAAATGCCATGTAAGTGACGAAATCTGGTAAAAGCACCGCTGGCTCTTTCACAGTAAATAGAAGTGCTCAAGTTACATGAAGAAAGTCATGACCATGGCGAGACCGCCAAAGGCCACGCCAGAGATGGCCTTGAGAGCCACTCCAGCGCTGGTGCGGTCTGGGGCAGAAGGAGCCGTGATGCTGCCAGAAGGGCTGTCGTGGCTCATGACCGACGTCGAGTTGGTCTGCTGCTTACCCGTGACGGAGCCCGAAGCCGTAGCCGTGCCGCTGGTGATGACGGTAGAGTCAGTGGCAGCAGAACCAGTGGCAGCAAGGACGGAGTTGGTCTCCATCGAGGGGCTGCCAAGGGCATCAGTGGTCGAAACCACCGTGACGACAGTGGGCTGAGGAGCACCGGGATCAACGTGAGGCCAGGCAGTGGTTGGAATAGGCTCGATGACGGAAGTGACAGACACGGCCTGGGTGGTCGAGTCGACAGAGGCAGAGTAGCCGATGGAGGACTCGGCAACAACGACGTCGGTAGCAGTGGAGAGAGAAATCTGGCACTGGGTGTTCTCAATGACGGTGCAGTAGTTCATGGAATACATGAGGATACCTAGACAGGGTTAGTGATTCGGGAGATTTCATGGTCAGGGGGGACAGAACGAACCGTTGGAGGTGGTGGTGCCGATCTGCTGAGACTCAACAGTGACAGTGGACTGGCTATCCGCTAAAGAAGAGTCAGTCATTGTCAACTAATGTGAAACTATTCACGGCGATTGGTGAAGAAATGGAGAGGCTCACAATACTGGGTAGCGGCAAACGCGCCGGACAGGAGAAGGCTGGCGAGAGCCATGGTCATCTTGGGCGTGGCCATTGCGACGTCGGTTGAGAGGAAGATTGAATTGTCGATACTTGTGATGATGGAAGTTTTCTGGAATGAATCTATTAGCAAAGAGTCACTAGTGTTAAGAAGCTTGTTGAGGAGGGAAATGTGTTGAGCATCGCGTGCTAGAAGTTGGAGAGAGGGAAGGCTAGCGGCGGCGGTGATGCCTCGGAGAGATGATCGAGATGATAGCAGGCATCAAAACGACATCTCCAAGCATGACGTGTTGCACGAGAGGGTGATTGAAATGAGTTACCTTGAAAGTGTGGTGAAAATGTTTTGCTCGTGGAGTTGCGAGATGGTGACGGGGGAGGAAGAAGGAGGAGGAGGAGGAAATTCAGCAGCGAGGTAAATAGCTACAGCCCCACAATTGTGTTTGTGAAGAAATCAGTAAACGCGTCTTTAATTTGGTTCTATTTTTTTTCTCGGTGCAGGCAGATGTTTATTGGGAATTTCGGGGGTGACAAGTGGTGGGCAGCTGGCAGCGGAAGATGGTTGAAGTGAGTGAGTGAATCATAGCTGCAGGAGTTGACGATTGCCAAGATGATACGGTACGATGATTTGCAGAATTGTATGACGATTAAGTTATTTTGACTAGTTTCAGGGGTTTCGAGAGTTATTTTAGATATTTCCATGTCTTTGTGCAAGACGATCTATTTGGTGTTGTTGGATAGGCAGTGTGGGAGAGTGCAGGAAGGGGAAGATATCACTACTCCTAGGTGCTACATGAGAGAATACTCGACAACAGGGGAGAGATGAATCCCATCAACTTGCATGTTACACGCGTGGAATCCAGTGCAGCACATTGTCGCGGATTTCGGGAATATTGACATGGAAAACGACATGTCTGTGCCATCTCGTTTGCCGCCCGCCGCTTCATTTGACCCCTCCCGCGAAATTGCATACCACCCACTACAGACAGCGCAACTCGATGTACCAATGCAGCATAGGCAAATCGTTGTAGGAGTTTATATGGTGAATTCAAAGAATATAACGAGTCCATATATTGAATCTTAACCAGAAACCAGAGAAAACCATCAAGTCTTACAAACTACCCATGCGAAGTGGTTTCGACTTGTTGTGGTCTCAACCACGATGCCACGCAGCTGTCCGTTCTGTGGCACCAACCAGCCGACACAACGGCACCAAGTAGTTTCATCTTACTCAGGCATCAAGTCTTTGAGCTTGTCTTGTCTTGTCTATTCAAACACTGTACTCCTCTAGTTTCTCTTCTTCTCTTGTGTTGCTCCTATTATGCCCACAAGCCAGGGGCGTCGGTTAAGTTCCTTGGCCGTGGGATGAGCATAAAGTATAACCCACAAGTACGAAAATACATGATACTCCCGTTGTCAGGTGATGGGAAGAAAGCAAAACCTCAACGCCATCAATTAACTTTCCTTTCTTCAACTAGAAACCAACTCACGAAGCAGAAGCACCAAACACGAGAGAAAACCTTGGAGGTTCTTCTCCATCGCCGTTTGACCGCGCGCAACACCGGCAGCTTGTTATGCCGAAATCATCATCTCCATTGCCCCGGTCTCACTAGAAACTCCAGCCTCGTATGTCCTGCTCGGTCTTTCTGCGGACATTTGCCCGACTCGTGCGTGAGATGCCCTCAAAACCCAATGGCCTGTCTCAGCTTTAAACTTTGGAGAGCTAGCCTCGCATGCAAGGCCGGCAATTGTGCTTACTACTGCTGTCACACCAGGATGGCCGAGAATGGAAAGCTGGTCGTTGTCCAAGTCGAGCCACTCCGCGTCCCTAATTGGGCCTCCAAAAGCCTCTCTCCAAAAGCCTCTCATACCTCTGAGCCATGCTTCTCCAACGTGCTTGGGCGCCACGTCTGATTCAATCTTTCTTGTCGCCGTTGCCGTCGAGTGGGCACATCATGATGAGATCAAAGACCAGGCCGTGATGGCTTCGAGGCGGGGCCCCAGACCCAGAAAAGATCCATGGAATTCACCATTGGCGCCACGACTCTCCTTGGCTTGGTTTCTCCAACTCCATCTCCATCTGCCAACCCTCCCTGCCGACGCCTCGGCACTCTTAGCTCTGAACTAGCCCCTGCTGCCATTTGCCGGAGCTCTGGTGGAGCTCGAGAAGCTGTCTCTGTAAGGCTCCAACTTGCTGCCACCAACCGCAGCCACCGGGGTTAAAAGTATCGACAGACCTGCGCAATCACCACCGTCGCTAACTTCGCCCCTCGACCGTGTCCCGAGAGTTCCGGCCTCTAGCCCGGGCAAGTCACACGATCTTTGACGCTTGGCTACGGAGATAGCTTCGCATCTTCCTTCGGCGTTGAGGAAGCCAGTTGTTGTACTCCATCCAAACCATCCCAAGCTAGTAACAAGACGGCATATTCTGAATCCCGGCGTGGAGTTTGACCTCCGATGGCTGCTTTTGGGTAGCTGATCACTACTTGCTTGGACCAGCTCTCGGGGCATCGAGACGTTCGCCTAAAGGCGCGGCGCGAAGAGGGGAAGCAAGCTTCATACCAATAAACATCACCAACCTACTCGGGAGAACGGAAATAGGCTAGAACCGACATGCCCGACATGAGGGGAACGCAAATGAGGTACGGACAGTGGACACGGCACGAGAAGTAGATGGAGCCGTGTCGTCTATATATAAACGAGGTAGGTATGGAGCTCAGCCCAGGAATGGCCTGCTCTTCTCTCTCGCCTTGTCTGTCTACTCATTCTCAGACGCTTGCATTAAGTAGACATCATCTTGTCTACTCCCAGTCATCGTCGACAACTGCTTTGATACAAGATTGCAAGACTCTATACAAGTATGGCGACTCCAGGTACCGACCCTATCGAGGGACAATATAACAAAGAATCCGCGGCCGACGTGCCGCAGCCCACCAACGGGCATCATGTTTCCAATGGCATGGGCTCTGGACAGCAATTCCAGCAGTATCAACAATACCCTGGCTATGGACAATATGTTCCGTTTAGCAACGCGCAGGATCCTCGGGGCGGGCCTCACCAGGCCATGGTCTCCCAGGTCTACCAGCCTACCCTCGGTAAGATTGGTAACCCAGGTCCTCTTGGTCTGCTCGGTTTCGCTTTGACGACTTTTGTGCTCGGACTCTACCAGTGCGGTGCTGGGTATGCTCCCCCAAGAATGACCCCATTCCTTCTCTTGATACCTTGGCGTCCGCTAACCCAAACAACAGCCTCCCTAATTCCAACCCATTGGGCGATGTCGGCCCTGACCAAGCTGTCTTCGGCGTGGCTGTCTTCTTCGGAGGCATGGCCCAGTTTGTTGCTGGCGTCATGGAATTCGTCCTCGGCAATACCTTTGGTTGCACCCTCCACTGTTCATACGGGGCTTTCTGGCTGGCCTTTGCCATGTTCTCAGTCCCTACGCTGGGCATCCAGGCCGCCTATAACGGAGATCAACGTGCCTTTAGCTTTGCTGTTGGCATTTTCCTCATCATATGGTGCTTCCTCACCATCATCTTCTTCGTGGCGGCGCTCAAGACAAACTTTACCATCCTGATGGTGCTTGGCCTGCTTGCGTTGTCTTTCTTCTTCCTCAGCATTGCGCAGTTCGTCTCAACGGAGCACACCACTGCGGCGGTGCGGCTGAACCGCGCCGGTGGTGCCTTTGCCGTCTTTTGTGCCATGTTTGCATTCTATGCTGGAGCGGCAGGCCTCATGCTCAAAGACACGACCTTTGTTACCTTCCCGCTTGGAGAGATTCCGTATCCCTCGGTCAAGCGAGAGAAGGCCGCGGCGGCCGCAGCGAAGAATGTTTAAAGCCACGAGTGAAGTCAGTTCATGGTCAGAGTATGCCACTACTTTATGGAGTAGTACTTTATTTTACATTATCATGGCTTTCAATTACTGATAAGGAGGTAATGCGCTGAAGAATGAGCTAATCGAAGAAGGACAATAAGTTCAACGGGTGGGACGAAGAGGAGAGTTGAATGTTGTTCGGCTTTGGCTATGTGCATTGATTATACCCTCGCTTTTGATACCCACCGGCTCGTTTGTTTTTGTTTTTGTGTGTGGTGGTGGCAAGGGTAATGGCAGTGGACAAGTAATACGGATGGAAACTTGAGGGAAGTCCCAAGTTCAATAACTATACCCAAATGCTACAAAGGACAGAAGCAACTTTTTCGTTTGATGTTATAATAATGATATTTCCAATTAAACCAATTACCAAAAGCAAACCTCGCAATGACTTGTAATAATACAATAGTAATGAATGCTTCCCTCATTCATCTCCCATAGTGAATGGTCCTCATCAATCATGCAACTTGTCCTACACTTTCGTTCGTCAGTCATACAAACTCTGCACCTCGTCAAGGGTCTCGTCTGCCTTGCCTTTTGCTTTGGCGGCAGTACCCTTTGCCTGACCCTTCATCTCCTCTGCTTTGCCTTTCACGTTTCCTTTCAACTCCTCGGTCTTGCCTTTGACGGTTCCCTTGACGGCTTCCGCTTTGCCTCTGGCGTGGGCCTCCACGCCTTCCACCTGGCTGGAGACGCCGCTGTTTGACAGATCTTCGGCTGTTTCCATGACCTTGTGCGATGCCTTGGCTATGTATTATTCAAAAGGAATTGATTAGTCACAGGTAAAATGGTTTAAAGTGGTGGTAATGAAGACGTACTAGCAATGTTGATGCCGTCGACGAGCTTATCGCTCACAGCCCTGTCAATGTGCTTCAATTCATCCTTGACAGCCTCGGTGGCGGTTCTCTGCGCCGCCAACGAAGTGGTGAATGTGCGCGATGTCCGAACTGCGGCGATCCGTGACACGGGGGTCACGACTGCGGCGGTTCTGCTGACATTGAGGGTTCGGGTGAGGAAAGACATGATGAGTTCGATTATTCGGTATTGAGCTGTGATGAGTTTTTTGTTGGTAAATTGATTGATTGATTGATTGATTAAAGAGGGGGAAAAAGAATGCAAAAGAAAAAAAAAGTATATTATATACCTGCGATGGGCAAGAACAAAGGGTAGCAGCAACAGACGAGACACTGTGAGTGGCCACCAAGGTCGTGATGTCATCGCCACACATGCCTCCACATGTAGAGCAGCGCAATGATGACGCAGATACGGTGACCCTTTTTCTAGCATGTGTCTTTCACTCTAGACTAAATCGAGATTCTGATGTGCACAGCAGCTGTTTTCCTTCTTTGTCATTACCTGTTGGTTTTATTTAAGCATTGGGTCTGCGATTGGCGTTTTTGTGGAGTGGTTTGGCGGTGGTGATTTTGGTGGAGGAATGTTTGCATCATCAATACTACAGTACCGGCAGCTCCTTGAACACCGAATAACCCTGTTTTGCAGGATAAAAGCTTATTCTGAATCTAGATAATGGTTGAATTGTGTTTCTAGAAGACGTTTATTCTTTTCTGTTTGTGTCATTGTCCAAGAAATCCAACTTTCCCCTCAATTGAGGCTGTCTCTTCACCTACCGTGGAATCTTTCGATCCATTGCCTCATCGCGTTCTCTGCCACTGCGGGATCAATCCTCTCGGTGGGTCCGAGGCGCATCATCTTGCCCACTAGATACATGAGCTTGCCCTGGGGATACTTTTGCTCGTCGGCAAATTCTTCCAGCACCTTGTCCTCACCCGCGGCGGCCTCGGCAGCAAGGGCTTCGTACTCTTCCTGGGAAATCTCTTTGAACCACAGGTCGTTGCTGTTGATGGCTTCCAGAATTCCGCCCTCAAGTTCGCCCAAGTATACGGCCATGAGAAGCTCCTTTGCCACTTTGCCCGTGATGTGCTTGCGATAAAGGTGATATAGAAGCTGCGACAGTTCCTCCTCGGATACTTGAGCGCACTCCCCGAGCTGGGTAAACGACAGGTCTCCCGACGCAAGCGGACCGGCTTTGTAGGTCGTCAGGCGGCCGAGTTCATGAAGGATCCAGTTCCCCGCCAATGTTGAGTACGACTTGACCTCGGGAAGCTCCGCAATGTCAAGCTCGGCCTGCAAGTTACTCTCCAGCAAAGCTAGGACGCGATAAAAGTACTGCACACGCGATCCATTGTCCAGTGTGATGAGTGAGAGGGCGTCCTTGGGCGTGAGGCCATAGTGATTAACCAGCTTGTCAAGCTCGGTATCCGGCAGAACAGCAAGCGATGCCTGCAGACGTTGCACAAGGTCGTTCCCAATGACAAGCGGCGGTAGGTCAGGGTCGGGCATGTACCGGTAATCAACCTCGCCCTCCTTACCACGCAAACGACGGGTTTCCTTGGATCCAATTGTCCAGCCACGCGTCTCGCCAGCAATCACGCCGCCTGCCTCCAACTGTTGGATTTGACGATCGCGCTCGGCAATGATGGCATCTTCCACGGCCTTGATCGTGCTCAAGTTTTTAATCTCTGTACGGGTGCCAAGCTTCTTGCTAGGGTCGTCGGTCCTCCGTACAGATACATTGACATCAGCTCTGAGACCGCCCGTCTCCATCCCAGAAACGCACGAGTCCACGGTGTTGAGAAGCAGCTGGATTTTGCGCACAAACACAGCAGCCGTGCGAGGGTGATGGATCTCAGGCTCGGTGATTATCTCAATCAAGGGCACGCCCACACGGTTGAAATCTAGCCAGTGAACGCTTCCCGTCTGTGCGAGGGTCTTGGCCGTGTCCTGCTCGAGCTGTACTTGTTTGATACCGACAGTGACGCTCTCGCCATCCTCCGCAGAGATGCCATCACGAGCAAGGAGCGTAATGTGTCCCTTTGCAGCAAACGGCTCGTAGAATTGCGTAATCTGATATCCCGAAGGCTGGTCCCACCAAAAATAATGCTTCCTGTCAAACCGACTGACGGGCTGTATCTCGCAGTTGAGGGCGAGTGCTGCCCGAATAGCCGGAATCAGAGTCTCTTTCTGAAACAACGGCTGGCTGCCCGGCATTGCAACATCAAACAGCGCCACGTGGCTGTTTGGCTCATCGTTGAAGGAGGTTGCGGCTGGCGAAAACAGCTTGCGAGACGTGTTGAGCTGGGCATGGATCTCGATTCCGACGGTTAGCTCCCAGCCGTCAACGGTTTGGGAATCGCCCTTGGATTTCTTTTTGCCTTGTTTTTTGGCTTGCTTGGCCTGCTCCTTGAGCTGCTTCCGTAGCGGGACATGGGTTAGCTGTGACGATGATGATGATGATGCTGCTGCTGCTGGTTCGGGCTGCGTATGGAGATGCCGCAGGGCATAAGGCGGACGAAGAGACGACCAGACGGGCACTGTTCGTGAAGACAGCCGCCGGCCATTAATGCATCCTCGCTGGGATAGACGGCCCTCGAGCAGATATCTGCTGAGCTCGCCGACGGATTTGCGACTCATTGTGCACTGCCGTTCGCTCGATGCCGTCGTCTAACCCACCAACCGGGACAATCCGCCCTCGATGTATGTCGGCAGTGCCACCAAATAGGCGTGGTTTGCCCGCCACAATATGAATTGAATGTGAACGTGAACGTGAATGTGAATGTGCTGCCAAATTGTCGCTTCGTCAAAACCGAACCCTTCAGGTGGAGACCAGATATTGATTTGATCAATTGACATGCAGTGAGGCCGCGAGCCGGCCCGCTAGAAAACCCGGCAGGGCGGAACCCACCGGCAGCCAGTCGGTCCATCAATCAAAGTCGTGGCTCTTATAAGAGGGTGTGCTTCGTCCAATAAATAGATTAAACGAATGCATCTCTATTCAACCCGCTCTTCCTCTTCTTTTTCCTCTTTTTACCCAAGCATGGAATGCATCCCTTCAGAATGTGAATCCAAACCAAGAATACATACATACATAGCAGAAACCCATCTCGCAGATCCTCCTCTCCCCCGCCCAGCCAGCGATCACACACCGAATCTCGCAAAGGATCCGTTACACAGCGCCCATAGTTTGCCTTATGCGCAAAGATTTCTCTCCAGTTCGACGAGGCAAGGCCCTTCCATGCCGGGCACCGGCTCGTGTTTGGCCACAGACGAAAATCAGCGGCGCTTTGATCAGGGCTTCCAGGCCATGTGCCTTCTTGCCATACCCCCCGAATCAGAGGCAACCAATCCCAGCTCGATTCGGCATGAGCTGACACAAGTGTGTGAAGATTGTACGCATGATCGGGGCTAAGCAGTGCTTCTTGTTTTCCCTCTATTTTACAGAGCCTGGCCCCCCAACAATCAAGAAGAAATTATTCCCCCCTCGGCTGTCTTCTCTCTTCCTCGTTGTTAGTCGTCGTCGCTGCGCAAATCATGCCACAACATGGTGGTCCTCGTTGCTGCAACTAGTAGATAAGAATTAAGCCTTGCAAGCGCATCCTTTTAGCCGCCGTTGTTTCATCTATTTGCCGTCAAAGGGAAACCGATCTGGATGATCTCATACTCACAACAAGTACGTTTTTGTGCGTGTGCCCGCACTTCTTCGGATATCCTGGAGTGTCTCAGCTTGCTCGAAGTGACCTGTGAAGACCCCAATTCAGCTCTCATTGTCCACCAGTAATCCGCTCCGCCGTCTGGGCTCTCGACAAGGTAAATCAATGTGATTTCATCTCTCTAGCGGTTTGCGCCTCTCACGAGATCTGAGCATGCGATTTGGGGTAGGACAGGTGGAAGGATTTGTTCATCCGCACTGCTTCCCCGCGCCGTCGCGAGACTACAATTAAAAGCGCCATCAAATATCCAACCGTATAAGTGATTGAATTAATCTGTACGATCAAAGAAAGAGTGCCGGGATGGAGCAATCGGTTCCGGTCCCGTCCAGAGCCGATAAGAGCAAAGGGGCAGCAACACACTCTCGCCATGGGAGCATTGATGAGAACCCGAGAGTTTCCTCCTCGTCATTCCCTTCCTCGTCAACAGCGTCTGCAGCAAAAGCCGACCGAGAGGGAGACCAGCCAAATGCTTTTTTCGAAGAAGACGACAGGAATAGCCATATCAGGGAGAGGCCGAGAAAACACCACCATAGGCGTATGAGCTCAAGGAGACATGCCAGTCCGGGACGATCGCCAAACCCTATGGAATATGCGCCGCAGAGTCCGGACGATCCACCAAGAGGTATATCACCATTAGTTTGCCCCCTAATATCTCATCCCATCACTGACATCGTTCACCAGGGCCACCTCACGGCTATTTCAATGGGCGGCCCCCAATGCCAAATGGACCGCTCAGGAATGACAACGCTCGCTTCCCGCCCATACAGACTCTCCCAGGGAACTTCCCCAACGGATTTGGCTCTCCAGAAAGGCCATTTGTCGTCCCTGACCCGCCGCCGGTGTTTATTCCATCGCCCATGCAGGCTTCGTTCCCTCCGCAGATGCCCCCAATGCCACCGCCACATCATCAGCTCAGCGGACTGCCTCTCAGCGGCTACGAACTCCTCGCTGCCAAACTGTCAGGGGGCTTGTCAGGACCAAGACTTGCTCCCATCTACCGACGGTTTGAATCCCTTCATCACCGGCTACTTTTGCATATGCAGGATGAACTCATAGAATTAGAAGAGCAGCTGCATAACCTTGATGCGGCAGACACGCAAAAGAGAAAATTTCCAGGAGGGATATTCCCAGCATCTCGTCGAAAAGAAAACATGAGCCCGACTGACGCAACCTGGAAGAAGAAAGAAATTATAGGCCACATTGCGGCAAAGCTATACCAGTATAGTGAGCATCCCTATCTCGCATGGGTCAACTCAAGTTATGTCTAATGAGAAAACAGATCAAGTCATCACTTCATTCAGCGCAACTTACAACATGGCTGAGCCGAGCATCCAGGACGTTGTGAACTATCGATCGTACCTCAACGCCATCAACCCTCTTGTAGAGGACGAGTGTCAGTTTCTCGAAGCCGCCGATGATCTCATCAATCTGGGACGGCGCAGGCGGCGCTCAAACGGCAACCCTCAAGATGATCCTCTCAGTCCCATGCCCCGGTCATCCAGCGTCGTTGGGTTTCCTCCACCTCCCAGTAGCCAAATCTCTAATGCCGGCAGCTCGACTTATCAAAACATGGCACAAGTTTCTTCCCTCAAACGCCTCGTTTTGGCCATGGCGATGATTGTGCTCGCTCCTATTATTTGCTTCGCCGTGATCCCAGGATTCGTCGGCCGTATGACTGTCGTCTTTCTAGTGGGTCTTGGAGGAGCTGCCGCCTTGTTCCAATCCGGGTTGTTGAACTCATTGGCAGAAGATCGAAGCACGTTGGATTGGGTTCTTTGTGCGGGTGTATATGGAGGAGTAATGGCTGTGATTGCTGGTATTATTTGATGTGGAATGAAAAGCCGCTTGCTTAGCTCTGGGATAAGGATGGTTGAGCGTATCTGATGCGGGATCTTTAAGGTGCTTTCCATAGTTTTTAAGTAAATGATTGAACGAATTAATGATGAATGAAAGAGTTTTATATACATCTGAACAACAGGGTATGAATGAATGAATGAATGAATGGGCGAGGATAATGCATCTATCTAGTTGTATATATGATTGATATCAAAGTCGACAAAAAAACGGCAAAAAGAAACAACTATGGACGAACGGGGAATCGAACCCCGGACCTTTCCCATGCGGTTATCCGACTCGTAGGTCAGACGATGCTAAGGGAAAATTATACCACTAAACCATCCGCCCATTTGCTCATGGTTGGTCTAGAAGGTTTTGGCTATATGAAGCCTAGCTTCAAAGATTGAGTGGGCCGTCATCTAGCTCCAACACTCGCGATTTACACAGACTGAGTGACAAGATCTGATGAAGCATAAAATACAATCATCAATTGAACTCTGTATAGGGAGTGCTGTTTTCTGATAATAATGTTATTCAGTAACTGAGCTTTCTGGGTGTCCATCTTCCCATATTTCAAAACAGCTCAATTTTCTTCATGTATGTAGACGTATAGCACAGCACAGTTTCATTCACTTTGATGGCCAACACGCATTCTCTTTTTGTCTGGCATAAGCCGCAAATTTTATTCCAAACGGTCAAACCGCCGAAATACCAAGTCCTTGGGAAGTGGCATGGCTGTAGGAAGTGTAAGTACAAGAAGAGTCGATCCATCCCCATACTGTATGCCACCTTCGACAAGCACATATCCTAGTCTCTTGGCTACACCGGGACTCTTCAGGCTACCCGGAGCTATGACGGCCATCATATCTCGGAGCCCCAGCCCGTCACAAAGTATCGTAAAACTGCGTTGGAAGCCTCGGTAGCATAGCCCATGCCCTGGCAGTCTGGCAATACGATCCAGGTTTGGTCAGGCATGATGCTTCTTTGAATCACATACTAAGGTAGTACCAATACACTGGCCGTGCGGTGAATTTGCTCCTAGGGGTATGAGCCAAATAGCAGATTGATCAATTCTTTGACCACCTAGAAGGTTGGTTGGATCCGGCCGTATGAGCGGTAGAAATCGACGGTTTCCTCTGCATTTTTTCTGGCTTCTTGAGCGGAGATTTTCATGTATCCTGCGACCATGGTTCCCAGTAATTCTATGAAAGCTTCCTTGTCGTCCTTTTTGTCGAAATCGATGAGGGTTAGAGTCAGTCTCTTGGTATAGAGAACAGGAGCGAGGTGCAAGGTTTCTTGAGACATGCTTCGAAGTCTCAACAGATGATGATTTGGATTTTACTGAGCAACATTGATCATTATGAGATATCACTCAGAAAACCGAAATGAAATGTTTTGATATATATTATGCTTTGTGATTACCACCAGCTGACGTGGAAATGTCAGATTTTGAGATTGTATACATACAGACCTACCCTTGAATCTGGTAAATTCGCTGAGTGAGCATTGGCTTGAACAAAGTTATGCGCCATGCCCAGTATATCGCTGCAGACAACTATATCAATCAGTTCTTTATAGAATATCACATCTGCTACCGGGTAGTCGACATCATAGCACATGATGGGATCGTGCCGAGGATATGTGAAAGCTTCTGGAATATACGAGTACCGTATGGGGCGTGCTTGTATGAGTTGACTAGCATCAGGGATCCAGTTCCTTTTAATTGCCATATGGCTCCCTTGCCTAGCTAGCCTTATCTCGGCCTCAATAGTTTGGAACTGGCCCATAAAAAAGGTGAATAAGCGCGGCTCGTACTTATGAGTAGCTGGACACGGCTGAGATGTGCCTGTTTTGTGCAAGGCAGTGTTTCAAAGCAACCAGCAAGAGGACAAAATATCAGAGTGTAATTAATCTGTGACAAGAGCAAACCTGCAATTGTATTACCGCCTGTCCAACAAGTGTCTGCAGTTCGCAATTTGCAAATTGTACAATTTCCAGGGCAAGCCGGGTACGCTGACGAAGGTGTTGTGTTGCATTGCAGCAGTGGCAAATTGTCCCGCGCTTGCAATTGAACCTCTTTGTACTCCGTACAAATACTTTGGTACGAATCGTTGCGATCTTTGATTGACCCTTGCAGGCGCTTCGCTTCCCTACATCACTTTAGTACTAAGTCAAAGAGTGGGAAAAAAAGGGGTCGGCCAATGAGGTTCGGAGGAAATGAGGCACCACCGCAGCCAGCAATTAAAGATTCTTGCCGCCGGTGGCTGTTGGATATTTTCCGCTTTCGCATCTGTCACGGCTAGGTAGGGCGATTGATTCTTTTTTGGTGGCTTTCCTAGTGCTCGTACTACAGAGTTAGGGGGGAAACTGAGCGAGCTTGTGATGATGGGTTTTGATTATACTGGCTTTGTGTTTCGCTAAAGACTGAGGGCTTTGTTAGTGCAACGGGTTGTTTGACAGGTGTGTGTAAGTATGAAAGTTCAGAACAGTAAAGCACATCACATACACCTTATTGAGGTAGTAGTTGGCTCTGTAGAAGCATCACAACTGTCTCTGATGCCCTCGAAATTCATTCAATCCCCTTGCCTGGAACTTCTGGGGTTTTTGCTGCAGACCGAGACACGTGCTGCCAACCAACTGCACCCCGAACCATGTACAAGTACCTACACAGTATAGCGTTTCATGTGATGGGTTTACAGAAGGGAGAAAGCCCACTTCGACAGCAGATTTAGTGGACGCGGCACGCTGCTGCAGAGCGGCCCCTCTGTTCACGACATCCATTGAACCCCTTGCTCGCACTTTGTTTTCTTCTCCCTCCACTCATTTACGGCTTGACATATTCGTACGAGTACATGCTCCTACCTGCAGTACATGCATGGCCCTAGCCGCGGAGGATAATAAGCGGTGCTACTACTACTGCTGCTACTGCTATGTACTAAGGTAATTAGCCCTCCTACGATGAAACACGATCCGCAGCCCTCTTTCTCCCTCCCTCTCTCCATCCTTGGTACTTGCAGCACCGTACGAGTATGAGCCTGTCTGTCGTGATCGGCCTCGAATCGCTCGCTCGGATCGGTTGTGCGACCATTCCATCACCAACCGACCCCCTGGCCGGCCTCTCGCGATTGTGCCCCCTGCCCACCCCAAACTGACGGGGGCGGAGCAGATCCAGCGCCATTTGATCAAATCAACCGGCGTGCAAATGCCCCCACAATGCAGTCAAACCAAAGGCACAAGGCTCTTGCGCCCAAATTGAGCCTCGTCACGTCCCTTGCGTCGCGGCCTAGGAACGAGGTTCCGCACTCAACCACCACTAGCCCTCTGGCCAAGCCACTCATTTCCACGGATCCAAACGCCCAAAGGCCAGAGTTGCACTCGCTGAGCACGTCCCCGAAGCTGACTGTGACCCGCAACGTCAATGCTTCGTTTTTAGATGACCCGACGCCAATCGAACCCGACATGGCCGACCAACACGCGTCTAGAGGCAGAGGCCGAGTCCGGGACTCTCACGACCTCTCGCTGTCCCCCCGCAACGTCACCCGGGACTCGCTTGTGAATAACATGCTCCTATCCCTCGACCAGTTCTCATTGGGACACACCACATCCACATCCACATCTACATCCGCAGGCGGCTTGTTTGGCGGCACCGCGCTGACATACGACGACCCGCGGCCCTGGGCCCACGACACCAACACCTTTTCCCGCGGATTCCCACCACCCTCGAGATCGAGGCACCAGTACTCGTACAGCTCCGACTACGAAGACGACTCGAACCGAACCTCGGTCCAGCTGCCCAGGCCACGGAGCCGGAGTCCTCCTCGACCAAGGAGCAACAGCAGCTCCATCTTCCAGGCGCCCTATCCCAGGGTCGACGGCCCAGGAGATCCCGCCCACCGCTCTCGACCCCGAGCCGGCACCAAGGACAGCACCAGCAGCGCCAGCATCGACGCGGGTTACCCTCAGAACATTGCTGGCCCTTCCAGCTGGGCCCGTAGCGGCTTCAGGCGCTCGGCGAGCTTTGATTTCGGGCCGCCGCAGACGCAAACGCAGCTCAATGCGTCATTGATGTCCCCGTTCCACCTCGACTTCCCGAACAACTCTGCATCTGACGACTACGGTTCCGCACCAACGCCCACAATCCCTGGGGGGCCACGACGTGTAGCCTCCAACTTGGCTCTTCCTCGTCCACCAGCCGATCCAACTGATTTCTCGGGTCTGGACACTCGTTCCGTCAAAAGCTCTTCGGGCCGCACCAAACGGCCGGTAAACCACCAATTGGTAGCACCTGCCATGGCCTTAAGCGACTTCGATGCCGCCCCGGCACCTAGCGTTAGCTATGGCAAGTCTAAAACAGATCAGCTTGCTGCCTCCCAGACTGCCGGGGGACTTTCCCAGCCCAAAGAGAAGCCGGGTTTCTTCAGGCGTGTTTTCGGCTCCTCCAAGAATACCACACCCGCCGCTGCGGATGCTCCGACTCCACGCTTCATCGGCCAAGTGAGCAACGCGGTCGCCCCTATCCAGAAAGAGATTCCACAGCCGCCGCCACCGCAGCAGCAGCAGCCTACCCCTGTATTACAGAAGAAGCCGTCGTCCTTCTTCCGTCGCCGGAAGAAGTCAGTTGTTGATGAGGCGCCGCCACTACCGGGTGAAGTGCCTCCGCTTCCCTCCTTCGATGCTAACCTCCATACCGATTTCGACCGACCCCCAGCAAGCCCTGCCAGTAGCCTAAGGCAAATCATGAATCCATACCTGCGGGAGAGCACAGGGCGCCCTCTTGGCGATATTACCAACAAAGCAGCTGCCAGAGGAGTTGACGATGACGATGATGACGACCGACCAGATTTCCAGCGAGACTTCTCACCTGACTATGAGCCAAGTCCCAATGCAAAGATTAGAACGGTCCACTCTGATTCTGACCGAGACCAATCATCCTCTGATGGTCCCAGACGCCCTCAGAAAGGACTTGAACACAGGAACAATTCCTTCTTGGATCTTGACGGGGGCAGTGATAATGAGGACTCTCCCATTCGGCAGCGGGCTACATATTCAGCAGACGATAAGGAGAATGATGGAATATTGGCCTCTCCTACTGCATACAAGAACAGGGACTCTACGGGTACCATTCGCGCCAAGAAATCGCCGTATGTTGCCGAACAAGAAAAATCAAGTGACGCACCTGTTCGTCCCAAGATAACAATACCGACTGATCGCCGGTCGACTTCCTTTGCCTCGGCATCGACCGATGACGGAGACTACAAAACCGCCCCCAGTGCACCGCCCAGTGTCCGCGTCGAAAGATCCAGTGAGTCAAGTGCCAGGGGAACACTTGACATGCTCAAGAGTCGCTTGGATGAACCCGAATTCGTCATTGGCGAGCCTACCGAAGATGATCGACAGAAGGCGCAAAAGATATTCGATGGAGCGGAAGACTTCATCCCCAAGGAGAAGGCTGCTTCTTGGATGGGCGAAGAAGGCCCTATTCGCCAGCGGACTCTGCAGGCGTATATTGAATTGTATGACTTCACAGAGCTGAGCATCCTCAATGCGCTACGTAAAGTGTGTGGCCGTTTGATACTGCGCGGTGAGACACAGCAAGTCGATCGCATCTTGGTGGCCTTTTCCAAGCGATGGTGTGATTGCAATCCGAACCACGGCTTCAAAGCGACTGGTGAGTAGTTCTCATGCTCAACTGACTTATAGACGAGCCATGCTAACATTGTCTAGACGTCATCCACACCATTTGCTACTCTATCATGCTTCTTAACACTGATCTCCATCTTGCCGATATTGAACAAAAGATGACTCGCAGCCAATTCGTGAAGAATACTCTGACAACAATTACCCAAGCTGTTGAAGAGTCTGTCCCTGATGCCTTTGAGCGCCCCAGTATCCTGCCCGAGAAAGGCTCCGTGCTCCATGATGGAGCGCGGCCAGCAGCTGAGCCGCAAGAGCGGAAAACTTTCAGGAACTCATTCAGACCTCCCCCTCGCACCGATACACAGCTGTCAGACGCCCACGACGAGTGTGGACCGCTTGTTAAGACGGCCTTTTATGGTTCAATGAAAGCTTGGGAAGAGCAAATCGAGATAGTTTTGAAGAGCATTTATAACTCGATTCGAGATGACAAACTGCCATTGTTTGGTGCGGAGCCAGAGAGGCACCTCAACACCATGCCATCGCAAAGCAGTCTGTCCGTCATGGGAATGCTCAAGAGGAGTCCCAGTGTTCTCAGCAAGGCACCATCGGAAGGCCAAATGTCGACACGAGGCCGGGTTGCAGATAACAGCCGCAACGGAGGCTCGCGATGGGCCTCCAAGAGCCGGTCACGGCCTGGGCTTGGACGTAATGGATTTAACTCTAGCCGAACCAGCTTCGACGACTCGAATTCTCTCTGGAGCCCAGCCATGTCATCAGCAACTTGGAGCCGCTACTCGCTGGGGAGAACACAAGGCTCCATGTCTCAGGACTCGTTTGGCTCAGCAGTGCCCCGAGGTGATTATCAGCAATCTATTGGGTTTGCAAATGCTCTCAGCCAGGCCATTGTCCGTGATGACGACGCGCACGGCAATGATGGCATGTCCATCATGAGCGCTGAAGTACCTGCCACTCAACTGCTGGACGACGAATCCCTAGAATTGGCGGGCCCTCCCTGGATTAAAGAAGGCAGAGTCATGCACAAGCATCATCTGGATGGAGTTGGCAAGAGAGCAAAGGACCGAAACTGGACCGAAGTCTTTGCCGTCATCCAAAGGGGTCAGATGAGCATCTTCTCGTTCAATGCGCCCAAGTCGACGCGGCAAAAGAGCCGCACAAGGAATGCCGAAAAGGCCAACGCTCCTGTTGGAGGTGGTAACTGGCAGGACAATGCCGTAAACCTGGGCACGTTTAACTTGCGACTCACCCTCGCGTCAGCACTCCCGTCTCCTGGCTATTCGCGGTCGAGGCCGTACGTGTGGGCGCTGAGCTTGCCCACGGGGGCCGTTCACCTATTCCAGGTCGGAACTCCCGAGATTATAAAGGAGTTCGTGAATACGGCCAACTACTGGAGCGCGCGGCTGAGCACGCATCCGCTCATCGGTGGCATAAGCAACATCGAATACGGATGGAGTGACGGCGTTGTCAACAACTCGCTCGTAAACGCCATCAATGACAACGCTTCCATCATGAGTGGCGGCCGGAACTCGCGCCCTGGTAGCCGAGCCACCCATGGTCGGCAAAACAGCGTTCAAAGCGTCAACCTGCCTTCTTCCAGCATGGACCATGGTTCTGGAGCCTTCACCAGTGGACGTGGAAAACTACCGGGGGATCGCATCACTATTTCAGAGTGGGCGCCGCCAACACAGAGCATGCGACCGAGCAACTTGGCGGAACCGGAGCAGCTAGAGACGCTCTCAACATATGTCAAGAGCATCGAGGATGATTTACAAAACCACAACCAACTTCGCAGCCCCATGCTCCTCGCCTTCACTCCCAGAGGCAACAACGCGAACAAGGCCATGGCGAACTGGGAACGCAAGAGCGCATACCTGCTTAGGGAGATTGTCAAGTTCAGAACCTACGTGGAAACTCTGCAGCAATCGGAGAGTAGGAGACGGGAGATTTATAAAGAGCGAGACTTGGCTAGACGAGCGGCCAGGGGTGAGCTCAGTGACGGCGATATGGACGTCAGCGACGAAGATGGTGATGAGACGCTGCGACCTTGACTACTGTTTTCATCATAGACGGTTTAACTTGATTGCCTGCTTTGTCTGCGTATTGTGCCAGGGCTAGACAAGGAGGGAAAAGGCAAGATACTGCGAGCTGCGTTGGAGCTGGAGCTTCTATTTTAATTCTTCTATCTCATTTTATTCTGTTGCTGTTTTCTTATCACTGTGGCCGTTGGCCCTTTTTTGATACCTCCTACTTTTGGAACTTTTCTTCTTCTACTTGTAACAGTCTCGTCAATTAATACTGGGAAGAGATGGGGGGATATATACTGTACTACTAGTTGCATTTCGCTTGATTGTGTTAGTATTTTAAGTAGCTGTTGAGAAAGCGTTTGGAATGTTGGAAGCATAAGCGAGCATTTGTTTATGAAAATAACAGAGCAATGACAACTGCATCACAGCGGTCATTTATTTGCATTCAAGAAAACCTTGTGTACCTGCATGCAGTAGAGATGTGAAGTGAAGGAAGAAGAAAAAGGAGCATTATTATTATTACTACCTAGTGTAGAAACCCCTACCATCATGACATCGGAAGAAGATGCAAACCTATTGCAGTGCGTTCAATTTCACATCCTCTCTTCCCCCCCTTTTCGCCTTGCTCACGCAGCGAGAAGCCAAAGGAGGAAGAGCACTGCACCGAGTGGCGAAGATGGTCTCCCACTGGGTAGCGCCGCATTGTCACTCTCATTGCCGCTGTTTTCAGACGAGTCTGGATTTTGCTCTCCCGTTTGCGATGGCTGTTCCTCAGTAGTAGCCGATGAGGAAGGGTGAGATTTATCGCCGTCGCTGGTATGTGTGGGTTGGGGGCCATCAGATGAAGCAATAGGGGGAGGATAGGCGCCAGGAGTTGATCGTTTGACGCATCCCTTGATGTCAATGTCCTGCCAGCCTGTGGTGCGTTCATCATACAGATACTCGACGTTGGCGCCCTTGGTAGTCTCGTTGCAGCCGCCGGTATAATCTTCCAGCTCGATTGACTTGAAATAGGCGCTGTAGGGGTTCCTGTCGGCGTCGTGGGTGGTCCAGTTGGGTAGACCGCCGGCCCAGACGACGGTGCCTGGATCGCCGCTGTTGCTGACGGTCCAGATGCCGAGCTTGACTTGCATTGGGGTTTGAGGCCATTTGTAGGCTGGGATGTCGCCGACGTGCCAGGACTTGCGGATGATGTTGTTGATGGAGAAGCTGAGGTTTGTGGGGGTCCATTCGATGCCGTACTTTTGTGTCGAGGCGAAGGAGGAGGTGTCGAGATGGTATGTTGTGTTGTACGTGTTGAAGAGGGGCTGGCCGTCGTAAAAGTAGTTTGTTTGGGCTTGGTTTTCGTATGCTCCGAGGAGTTCCTGTTATTGTCAGAGTTGGTGTCTTGATTTGGCAAGCTATATAAGAAAGTGGTGGAGAGGGACTCACCCAATCGATTTCGTCTCCTGAGTCAGACTTGAGGACAATGGCGGTGATGATGCCGGGACCTTTGACGGCTTGGACTTGGACGCTGACTTTACCAAAGAGGAGGTATCTGTTGCTGGTTAGAGTGGGTGCTTGGCTGTCTTGCCAGATGTTGAAGGAGGCGCCTTTGCCATCGGTGTTGTTGAAAGTGAGCTGGCGTTTGTCTTGCGATGTAGAAGAATCGACGGTCCAGAAGGAAGTGAACTGGTCGTCCCAGGTGGCTTTTGTAAAGTCAAAGGAGGTTTTGCTGGCGAAAGCGGGATCAGGAGGGCAATCTGTGGCAGTAACATTTTTTTTAGTTTCCTCTTTTTGTATCCTTGTTGTGAGGTGATGGGGAGAAGAGTTTTACGAGCATCTTTCTTGAGGGGATCGCATTGTGATAGATCCTTTAGACTGGCTAACACGGGGAGAGCTAGATGAATGGATAGAAGGAGGAGCCAGTGGAACATGTTGGAAGTCAGAATTGGCGTTATCACTGCTTAAAAGGCATATGAGAGACGGGAGTAAACGTGATTGGCGATAATATGAGAAGAAGATTAACAACTCGTCCGCGAGAAGAGAATAGCTCTGCTTGTGTTTATATATAAATGAAATTAGACGTGGGTTGTCTAATCGCTCTCATTATCACGAGCTCCATTCTTTTGGGCAAGCTTCTCGGCAGTATTTAGGTGTAGCAGTTGTTCACATAGCACAGCATGTCTGGTGAGATGAAGCACAACTAACGACATGGGATGAGGGTAAGGGAAAAAAGGACCGGATTCTGGCTGTAGATATGAGACAAGGAAATGTCTGACTAATAGCCTGGGCTGATCATGATAGTATCATAATGTACAGGAGGAGTCACCATGAGCATGATTATGATTGAATGAGTTGAATGACAACAATAACACGATGCTGTATTCTTGTTATATGCATAAATATCACAGCCCTCAACAAGACCACCCTGGTATATTTGAGGCTGTAATACAATACGCTGTTTCGGACATGTTTGACAGGTGACATCAAACAAATGCCGGCCTCCCCTTGAGCGATGCCATTGTAACCCCCAGCCGTCATCAGTTCTCGGCTGCGGAACGAACGGATGGCTTCCACGCGATTGCGCGCGCTGTTGCTCAAGAAGAGTACGATATAGCCTCACTTTGGACGTGTGGAAGAAACGGGGGACGTCGCGATAATTTCCTCTGCGGGCATCCGTACACGGAGGCACAAAGCACAACAACAGGGGCAACACAAGCGAGAAAGGGACCTAGACGAAAAAAAAAAGGCAAAAGGAGAACGAACATAATCGAGACAAGGGAGAACTTATTTGCCATTATCAATCTAGCAAGTATCCAGCATGCTGCTCAGAGCCGTCTTCTCGGCACTGGTGATTGTCAGCTTGTAGAAGCTCTTGACATCGATCCACGACTTGGCGTAGGTGCAGTAGAAGCTGGACAGAGGAGGCTTCCACTGGTCCGGGCTGCGGTCGCCCTTGGAGCGGTTTGAGCTTGCGGAGACGGCCCATAGCTGGGGACGGGAGACGTCGTTGGCGAGAGCTTCGCGTTGGGCTGTGGTCCAGCTTGAGGCACCGGACTGGTTGAGAGATTTGTCCATGTTAGTGATGTGGCGTGATATAGTATGGTAAAAGGCAAGAGACGGAATATACGCAGTGAAGAAGGAGGAAACTTACGATCCAGGCATTCTTTAGAGGTACCATGTGGTCGATATCCAAGCTGGATGCGTTTGTGAAACTGGCGTTGTCATAAGGGCTGATCCAGGTGCCGGACTGAGATTCACAAGCGTTGTTGACTTGGACGCCTTCACCATCTCTCTTCAACACATATTCGCTATTTGTACATCCGCTTTGTTAGCTTTTGCGTCGTACTTTTGAAGCTTGAAAGGTGCTGGGATGTTAACATACCGAGCATTGCAGTTACCAGAGATGGCATCCCAAGTGGGAAACAGGTCGCGGGAGTAACCAGTTCCAGAGCCGACAACGGCGACAGTGAGGCCGGCAAGTTGGGTTCTGGCGCTGCTTGCGGTAGGGATACCGGGCTGTAATGAGACGAAGCATTAGCTAGTCTGATATAAAGAGTTGAGATGCAAGATATATCATGTTGCATTGATGCTACATACCGGCGTGGGCATAGGAGCCGGAGCGGCGAGAACCGCGATGGCTAAAGTAAGAGCGGCAGAGATGGACAGCTTCATGATGACTATTTCGTATAATATAATTTGGTATAAAGTCTTCTGAACGTGAAGTTGAGAGATGTCTTCGCCTATCTTTTTGTCTGTCGCTTCCGCAGTTCACAACGCAACAATGCACCAGGAAATCTCAACGTTGAGCGAGTTCCAAGGGCAAGAAGAGCAGTTTTATAGTCTCCTCGACTTCTTACCTGCTTCCTTACTCGTCCATCTGCCGCCTACTAATGCATACCAAGCCCATAGGCTCGTTTCGGCGACATCATGCCCCCATCACATAATATGTCTCAGCGTGTGCGACTCACCAAGAATAAGCCGCATGCACTACATCTGCTGCCATGACTAGACGCTGCAAATCACCCGCCGTATCCGACAAGCCAGATAGGTAGATAGAGACGTAGTATCGCCCAAAAGACGCAGAGTATACTATATTCGAACGTTGCCTTGACTGAGAATCCAATCTTCGGCTTTAAACCACCAACAAAGAAAGCCATATCAGGCTAATCCCAATCACAGCCAATGCCGCCACACGTGGTAATCGACGCATCTCCACAGCGTCGCTTCAGCATTTCCTCTTCAGGAAGGTTGGTGATTTTTTTTGGCGTCTTTGTTCAGCTTCCTGGGCTTTCCCCTCTCTAAGTCGGGATCTGCAGCGGGGGGGCATAAATGAAGCGTACAAAATAAGGGTCTTTTAGACCCCGAGATCTCCAGATGAAGGAGGTGCTTCCTACGGGACATGTGACTGAGATGGACGCGAAAAAGATGGTGATGAGAAAAAGAAAAGCTGTGAGATAGATAAGCTAGTAGAGTTATAACATGGATTGAAGAGAGGAAAAGAGAGAGACAATGAGAAAGAGATGAAAGAAAGAAACAGCCGGTCTTCGTAGCGGGCATCGCAGACAACTAAAGTGTGCATATTTCGGTCTACAATTTGGGCCAAGAGGCTCCGTCGTGAGGTTTTACCAGGATTAAAAGGTTGAATGGTGATCCAATTCATATCAGTCTCTCTAATTAGTTTTGTCTTCTCCACCAACAAAGGAGGGCTATCCAATACCAAACACCGCATCGAGTTTGAATGGCGTAATAGGATTCAGAGTAAATGCCCTTTGTTTAGGAGCACTTGCTCCTCTAATATCTGCTATTGTCGCTTTTCTCACCATTTAATGCTATTATTGTCGTTTATTTCTCGTATATGCTGCCACTGCTAACTACGTCTAAGTTTGAAACGCAGCGTGCTGAACAATCACTTTCAAGACGAGAGTCGAAGCGCCTATTATCTGCGAATGTGTAAAATGTAATTGATAGACGAGCCCCAGCAACGATAAGTAAACTTTTTATGTAAATGCAAACTTTTGATGTGAAAATATCCCCAATGCTGATTCCATCCGAATGTTCCCATATTGAATATCGTTTTGTAAATGGCTTCAAACCATCATTGTTGAAGCAGACCCAAGCATTCTCATCCACCCCAATCCCTCTTCTTACGGAATGATCTATTCCAGAGCATTGTCAAGAGCCTCCCTCCACTGCTTCCGTGAGACCTTCTTATCGCCACCCTGCTGCTCGGCCTCCTTCTTCACATTCCCCCAAATAGCTGTCACGTCGTGCAAGAATAGCCTCAGAAATGGACAGTCTCTTTCTGTTCGAAGATCGAACAGCTTCTGCAACGGAGTTTTGCCCTGAGAATCCTCATGTCTAAGTACAAAAGGCGTGCCTCGGAGAAGCACTTGATAAGTATCAGCTCTGGCATCCTTGTCCTTGTACTTTGGATAGTTCTCCAACCTGTCCACAATTGAATGCAACAGGCTGTTTCCGTTGCTGTGGATGTAGCTGCCGTCGAAACACTCCAATGAGAGAGCGAGATCGAACGGCTTGGAGTAATTTTCTAAAGTAAGGAGAGCCTGGGAAGCCACTCTTTCTGCAATTGTCGTTTTTGGAAAATCCTCCTTCAGCAGTTTAAACAGCTTATCATCTTCGGCGAACGCGATCCTATAGGCAGCATCGATAGCAGGCTGAGTAACATGATCTTTATACAGGGTAATATCGAAGGTTTTACGAAAACTGGAGGACTCTGCCCACTCCGCGAAAACGGTGTCGACTTCCTGGGCTGCGAGCGACGCACCTAGTTCGAGGAGACGAGTGTAAAATTTGGTGGGCAAACCCTTGTATTTGATGATGCAAGTCCCCAGAATAGATTGCGAATTATGTGAAGGGATATTGAGGTCGGCACCTTTCTCAACGAGTGTCTCAAAGAGTTCTGATAGAAATCCTTTTTGCTGAGTTTTGCAAATGACTTCGCCAAGAACATGGAGCGGGGTGAATCCCGCGTTTGATAGCTCATTAACGTCAGCCCCATGGCCTATAAGCAATTTGACCAATTCCACAACGTTGTGGATTATATATTTCCGACCCTCGAGGAGAGGCGTGGGAATTGCCTTGATGGCACAGACCAACGGTGTCTCCAGCACGCCCATGTTGCTAACGTTACCAACTTTGGCGTTGCAAGTCTCAATCATATGCTCGATAATTTCCTTATACCTCTCGTTCATCTCTTTATCCTCACTGCTGCAGTAGTGTATGATGGCCTGCATCAACGGAGTTCTTCCCGTCTGGTCCACATTCTCAATGTTGCCGCCGTTGGCCATGATTTCTTTGAAAGCGATTTCGTTGCCACAGTCCAGTGAGAAAAATAAAGGGTTCAATCCTGCCATCATGGGAACATTGATGAGCTCAGGGTACTTTTCGAAATATCGCTTTAGGCCGGCATCATTGGTAAAATCTTCTCTTTGACGGGCTGAAAGAATATGTAAAACATTAATGGTGCATGGAACAAGTGCAGATGCCGTGGTGTCTTCAATAGGAACAGCAAGTATAGGCGAGGCACCATACTTCAGAAGAAGGCGGATCATCTTCTTATCCTCGTTGAGAAACGGAATAAATAGGGGGCGCCACTTGGAGTGACGAGAAACAATGGTTATCGAATTGTTTGGCATTCTCGACTCGAATTCCTTACGGCCAGCTGAAAACTGTGGAAGGTAGAACAGATGCTGACCCAAGCCATTTGGATCAGCCCCCAGTTGTAGGAGCTTTTCAGCTGCTACTCTGTTCCCCTTGGCAGCAGCTACATGGAGAGGCGTGAAGTTCACAGGATTGCGCAGCTGATATACCCGATTCACATTCCCGCCATAAGTAACGGCAAGATCCAACAGTTTTTTGATGAACCTCTCAGTAGCTTCTGTAGTATCGGGATACAATGTAGCCCAGAGTATGGATAGCGGCCACCTGCTGCGGGCGTCTTTCTTGTAGAGAGCCGGAGTAGCAAGTCCGTAGAAGAATCGAGAAAGCTGAGCCACGCGTCCAAGAGTCTTGACGGGTAATATTTGGATGATTTTGGACAGGATTTCAGGGGGGGCAGTGCTGAGATAGTCTCGTTTTCTTGGATCTTCAGGTATACCCCACGGAAGGAATTTTTGGGCAAGGTACGCCATGATGTCGAGCTTAATCAAAAAGCGCTGCTGAGCGATGTATCTCTTGATCAGGTTGATTGACGAAGGCTAAATATGCAGATGTTTGGGAAGTAGCTTGAGTTTGACTGATTCCTCCAAGATGTTTGTTCAAGAATGGCCGCTGGAGCTGAATGAGAAAAAAAAAGAGAAGAAGGTAATGCTTGGGTCGTGCGAGTGAGTAGAATGTCAATGAGAAAAAAGGAGCTGAAGAGATTATAAAAAATAAACAGACGAGGTTTTGGGTTCTCTAACGGAGCGAGTAAGTGATTTTGCAACGGCGGAAAATGGTTGGAGTGAAAGAAAGGAAGAAGTTGAAGGATGGCAGCTGGCTGTGAAGATTGTATTTGAAGGGCGAGAGCGGTGAGTTGTGGTTGAGGCTGTCAGGCAGAAAATTGAGGTTTGGCAGCTGTAATGAGAAAAGCGATAAATCACATGCGCTTTGCATTGAATCTCGTGCTCTGGAGTAGTAGGATGATGTTGATGGCAGCGTTGACAGCTGACACAGGTGGAAGAGCTGATACACAGGCTGGTGCACCAAAGAGTTGCAAATTGGCATTGGAATTTCACAAATACAAATATCTTTTAGACCCGAGAGTGTGTCATCTTGAGGTTAACATGGATTTTCATGAACCTCAAAAGAGTCTAGGCTGTATCCTTGATATCTTGTAGTATTGTCGTCGACCGACCTCCAAGACAACAACTGCCAATGATTAGGCAGCGTTAGATGCTATTTCAATTTTAGTGTGAAGTCCCCGTATACATCTATCTTAGTCTCCAGTGACTGGCAGCGCATTGAGTTGTCATGGATACTAGATTTATTTCAAGGGCTGAATACATGGCATGGTTTTGTCCAGAATAAGGTACCTGTTAAATGTTCTACTTTGCTGCACTATTCACAAACTATCGGATTACGACATGTAATATTTTAATGGAAAGTTATTCTCTGTTTCGTTTCTGTGTATAGTAATTTGGATAAATATGAATCACTCATTTATTTTGGGAGTGTCTATTCATCATCTCAACGGAGGTGTCTGATATTGTGAATGTCTTCATCCAGAGGTGGTTTCTGCTACCCCCTGGCGATAGTGTCTCCCAATACTTGCTAATTCCCCGTGGCATCTGCTATTGGCCATGTTTGTCCAACGTACATGAGGAGCAAAAAAAAGCCCCAGGCATATTATTATCATCTCGGCGAGAATACATTCTCTTTATATATTCCCTGGTGCAACAACACACGTATTAGTAGATGTTCCTGCAGTGACGCCTCAATCACACGCACAAAGTGCTGACTCAGCCCGCATATGGCCGTCGAAACGTCAGAGCATTCCCAACTGAGATAAGCCTGCAAACGCACTGCCGTCACTGCTAAACCTCGTCGCGGGGGAGCTACAGTTACTTCGTGCTCCGTACAGAGGCACAACAATCGGCTTTGGAGCAAACGAGGCTGCGTCAGCCCGGTGACCTTTCAGACCTTGCAACAACGCACTCGGGCCACGAACGCGGGTCGCCACTGCGTACGCAAGCAATTACACACGCCCGTTTGCCCTCTCTCCAGCATCTCTTCTTTGTCCCGAGGCTCGTCATCCACCGGAACGTTCCTTTTTGCGATCCCCGCGGCTGACCTGCTTCAAAACCAGCTGCGCGCCTGCCGAGTCCTCGATGCCCTGTCCCGGCTTTCTTCAGCTCGAAAATCCCACAGGGAGCATCTGAAGCGACTCCAGACCTGCAGCTCGCCTCTTCTTCCATTGTATAGATTCCCGCATCAGCAGCTTCATCGATCAACATTATACAGCGGGATCTGGCCATCCTCGCCCTTGGCATCTCGGGCGACAGCTCCCTGCTACCCCTCCATTTCGATATTTGCGATACCCAAACAACCGCCTCCTCGCGCTCATCAGCCTCTCACGCATCATACAATACACCATGGGCACCAGATACGACTTGCGGTCGCAAGACCCGGAGCCCAACGTCTATGCCGCGTTGCCGGGAACATTGCAATCCGACTTTGTTCCGCACAATCTGACGCCGATGAAGTCTGCTCTTGTCGGGCGAGAAGTGCTTGGTACGCTGCTAACCCTTGGTATGTGCTGGCTCAGACTTCAACTAATTGTCTTGCATAGGATGTCACCCCAGTCGGTGGATATACGAGCTAATCAACAACAACTTCACCGCATGCGACCTGTTCGAACGAGCTCGACGTACCGACCTGGATAGCCACTACAACTGGGAACACCCTCACCAGCTCGTCATTAATGGCAACCAGTCCCATTCGACTTCGTCGTGCAAGGTGCTGTCCGCTATCTGCCTAGAGTGCCATTTCCACTTCATGTTCCGCGTCGAATGGGAAGATGCGCAGTCGGACTTCTCGTGCCATCAGAGCCACAGCAAGTGGCCCATAGGAGACACTCAGTTTCCTTGGCATCACCTGGCTTGGGTTTGCTCAGATGAAGAGGCCAACATTCAATCTGATCGCTCAAAGTACTACCCATTATTGGCTCGAGAATACTTTGCCTGCTCAGCACCGCCGTGTACGCTTCAGGTTACACTTGAAGTTTCGGAGCCTCGAATGCCGCCTTGGTGGGCTAATCTCCTGCTGGACCACGAGACGATTCTTCAGCAATTAGAAGCTGCGAGGAAAGATGAACCTACGCGATATGAAACTGCGACTGATGACTGGGCTCACCAAGCACCGTCTAACCTCAACACATACCTCAAAAACCTTCTGGAGACGACCTCTGATGCGGCTAGGAGTATATCCAAGAGAAATAAGAGATTTGCTGTACTGTTTGGTCCGCGCTGTTTCTCGATATTTCAAGACCTTGAGTTCAAAGAGCAGGTTGATATCCAGGATGGGGTCGACGAGGGCTCATTTACCCCAACAGCTCCCCCGGCGGCAGAAGGTCCTTCTGGGAGTACGGAAATTGGCACCTATCGCGCATACCTCGAGGATGTACGCTCCGAAGTACAGAATCTCATATTCAAGTCTGGTAGCACCGCAGAGCGCCCGACATTCTGCGTTACTGCCCTGCATAATCATCTAGGCTGCGTTGAAGTCCCCCATGTGAACACAGATGCGCTGGTTAATTTGGAACGATATAAGCTCTTGGGAGTTCTCCCTTCCCAATCCAAAGAGATCATTGTCAACGCATATAAACGACAGTGGGAGCTTGTGCCTACAAGGAGGAGAGATCTGGTCGAGAACTTGATGGCAATTGCAAATGATGCCAATGATGACCTACTGTCCGATTATGCAATTACTCAATCCTCCGTCTTCGAGAGCCAGCTTCAAAGGCACGGCGGCACTGACGATGACGGGCTTGCCTCCCAAGCACTAGAATACTTTGGGCTGAGCCCGCCGAATACCTATAGCGCGGAGGCCTTGATCAACGCATTTCGGGAAAAAATAGCCCGAGACCCAGCTGACACCAGCACTGCTAGAAACATGCTGTTAGTCATTGCTCGGGCTACAAACGACGACTCTTACCAGACTACTATTCTACTAGAGGCCGATACCAAAATGTCGCTACCGACATCATTGGCGGTACTCGGTTTGAAGAATGGGCAAGAGGCGGATGCCGTTAAAGCCACGAAAGCAAAGGTAAGTCAGCGGGTATACACACTACAAACTGGCAAGGGAAAATAATTGTCTCCCAATCACTCATGGAAAACATCAAGTACATTTACTGACTGCATGCATTTTCAGCTGGCCACGGCTATGACTGTCGAGGCCAAGGGCATATATCTCGACGCTTTAGATTCTATTGCAGAGCACACAGTTTCACCAACTATTAAGCAAGCTGTGATCGAACTTCGCTTTGAACAGGGCTTCAATGCTTCTCACTTTGATGGTGGTAATTCTAGCGAGCCCAGAGCAACGAACCTCGACCTTCCCGTAGGACTGCATAACATTGGCAACACTTGCTACTTGAATAGTCTACTCCAATATCTATTTACCGTCAAACCTATCCGAGACATTGTATTCAATTACGATAGTTTACGACTGGACCTGAATGACGAGAGCATTCAAGAACGCCGTCTGGGTGGAAACAAAATGCACATGGATAGGGGAGAGGCCGTCGTTGCGCAAGCATGTAAGTGCAGCAAATTCACGGGACATCCGAGTCTTGACAATTCAGACGACTGACATCAGTGTATAGTTGCGGAAGAAATGGCTACTTTGTTTGAAAATCTTCGAACTTCTGACAGAACTGCCACTCGACCTTCTCAGAGGCTCGCAAATGCGGTTTTATTGTCAACCCATACACTGCTCTCTGGTCCAAAGCAGCCTTCTGAAACGCCCACGGCTCCGAATCCCCCACCACTGCCTGCTCGTCCATCACCTGCTCCCCCCGCGGATACCCATGATGACGTGAACATGGTCAGCGTTTCGGTCCAGGCTGTGCCCGATCCGCTCGAAACGCAAAGCAGCTCCAGCACCCAAACGCTAGTCGGCCAAGATGATGCACTGTCTGACCACTCATATGAGAAAGTAGAGACGGTAGTAGAGGACAGAGGCAGCCAACTTCAACCCGCCCTAACAGTTGTGGATGAACCAGGAGACGACACTCTTATGGCAGAGGTTGCACTGGACGACAAGAAGCCGGCAGACCCTGAGAATCTGGACGAGGCTACTGAGGCACCTGTTAACACGGATAATCGAGATGTCGATATGGTTGACGCAGAGAAGCCCGAAACGGTTGATCAAAAAGTCCTTAATGCTCTTGAACATCAAAAGAGGTCTTCAGGAACAGACCAACAAGACGTCGAAGAGGTCATGGGCAGCATTATCAATCGCCTCCAGGCGGCGATTCGCCCAACCTCGACAGACGCCACAACAGGCATTCAGCTGGAGAAAATCATGGAGACGTTCTTCGTGACAACGGTCAATTATACCAAGAAATTTGACGAACAGGAATACCAGCATGAAATTAGCTTTGATAGATCGATAACGGCATTCCCAGCTGCCGAAGGTCCCTGTTCGT